GTAATTCAAATATATTGCAGATTGGTCAAATCAGGTAAAGATTGAGAAGTGATCATTTCACAGAGAATAGAAAGGCAAAATATTTTTATTCAAATGATCTTATTGGTACTTGCTTGAAAAAAAAAGTATATCCTTTTTGCAGAAGCTCCTTTTTTTATAAACTTTTTGAGGGTAATTTGATAATATCTAGAAAGGTAGATGTATTCTTTTTTCTTTTTCCTTCTTTAAAGTAGGCTCCATGCCCAGCATGGAGCCCAGTGTGGGGATTGAACTCACGACCCTGAAATCAAGACCTAAGCTGAGATCAAGAGTCAGACACTTAACCAACTGAGCCACCCAGGCACCCCAAATATATGCTTTCTTTGACCATGTAATTCCACTTTTAGGAATTTATCCTAGAGTAATATTTACACATAAACACAAAGATATATGTATCAAAGTGTTCCTCACAGGGTTGATTTCAATAGTAAAAAAATCTCCCTCAGGATGGATATAGTTGTTAAAGGAGCAATAGATAGGTAATAGATGTGTATAGATGTATAGGACAGCTTTCACACATTGTTAAGTGATGAAAGCAGGCTATCCAATAAAATGTATAATATGAGTTAATTTTTGTTAATACATGTAAAACAGGCCTTCTTTGACTACATTATCAAAACTGTCCGCTTATTTACCTTATAACTGTCATATTAGCCTATTTTATTCACAACACCTATTACTTTTTAAAATGATTTTTTTATATCCTTGTTCACTTTTTCCACCAGAATGTAAGCTTTGTAATACATTTCCTGTCGCGTTCATACTTATATTCCTGCTGCTTGGTGATGTAATTTTTAGAATCTTTTTAGGGGAAAAAAAGAGTATTTATTTTCCTAGTTTAGTTATTAACTATTACTCTCATTCCAATGAATGTCACTTCTCACTGCCTCATTCTTATCAGTTATAAATGAAGACAGTGAAACAGTCATTCTCAACCCTACAGTCACAATAAGATTACTTGTGTAGCTTTAAAGAGAAAAGATTATGCGTAGCCTCCAATGTAGACCAATTTCAAGTCAGAACTTGTGGTGGGATCAGGGTATCAATATTTAAAGTTTTCTTTGAGATTCTAATGTTCAGGCAGAGTTGAGAACCACTAGATTAGATGATATTTGAAGTATAATCATAAGGATCTGGTATCAAGAATACATAATAGGGACACACTTTGTCTAGAGTAAAAGTTATTTCCCAAGAATTAGAATATCAGTGTTCCAGACAAATCATCTTTTGCTTTAGGAATAGCAGATTGACTCAATCCTTTCTCCTCTCAAAGTACTTCTCCCTTGAAGAGGTGTAGGTATTGGAGACAAAAATTTAACCTATTTCAAGAATTTCACAAAGGAAAGATTTACTGGAAGGTTTACTTTCAGTGGGATCACTTTAAGAGTTCTTCAGTTTACTAATGTGGATGAAAACCACTTTTATGTTTTCACTTCATTAATTAGGGAAATAACCATAGACCTTACTGCATCACTCCAAGGAGGACTTTTCCCTTCCTTGGACCTCTGTGATGCGTTTACCTAGAAACAGCATCTTTGATATGCAGACATTCTACTGGCAAATTGTGCAAGGCAGCCACTCAGATTGGACAATTCAGGTTTCTTCTGGGAAGTGAACTTTGATTTGGAATTTTCTCTCGTGCCTGATATGGTAAAAATTCATGGTTTTTACTTTCTGAAGCATAGTGAAGTATAGCATACTATATCTTTCTAATTTGAGGTATTGATAAATCTTATGAGCACATAGAAAAATGGAATAGTCTGTGTGTATAATGTATACACCTACCACCACAGAACAATTATTTCATATTGCTGTATTTTATTTACTTTAGTCTCCTAATACATTTTTATTATACAAGGTTAATTTGGGAAAACAGTACTATTATCCATATAAGTTAACTTCGTATTAAGGAATTTCTTTTCCTGTTGGGTTCTTTAGTTGTTTAATGTGTATTTTTTGTGCTCATTATGGGATGATAGAAATAAACCAGAAATAGATCCTGCTTGGGTGGGAGGGATGGAGTGGCTGGGTGACGGACATTGGGGAGGGTGTGTGCTATGGTGAGTGCTGTGAATTGTGTAAGACTGATGAACCACAGACCTGTACCCCTGAAATAAATAATACATTATATGTTAATTTAAAAAAAAAAAAAAAGAAATAGATCCTGCTCTTAGGTACCTTTAATGTAGTAGGAAAGATAAGATTTTTACATAATACAATATTGAATGAGATAACAGTTGAAATATAGATCATACACTACAAGAGTTAAAGAGGGAGATTACCCTCACCTTGCTGGAATCAGGGAATGAGGTGGTGTTTGAGCTGATGTTGAAGGATTTATATGTTTGTGCTTCTAGAGGTATAGTTTGGCGCACATAGTAGCCTGTTTTTTAGGCAATATGGGAGAAACTCATTAAGTAACTTTGTTTTTAATAGAGCATAAAATTCGTAAAATGGTAAGGAAATAAAAGCAAAGATTAGAATTCTTAAGAAGTCCTTTGTCTCCATTATCATTCTCATTCCAGGACTGAAGAGCAGTTTATTGTCCTTTTTCATTCACCAAAACTTAAGTTGTTTTTTGATTCTCTTCTTTGGTTCTTAGAAAAGGAATTAATGCAGTAATGATTTTTAGGTATTAAATAATGAAAATTGAGGAAAAGACTAAAGTCTCATTAGAGGGGCGCCTGAGTGGCTCAGACGGTTAAGCGTCTGCCTTTGGCTCAGGTCATGATCCCAGGGTCCTGGGATCGAGCCCCACATCGGGCTCCTGGCTCAGTGGGGAGCCTGCTTCTCCCTCCTCATGTGCTCTCTCTATCTCTGTGTCTCAAATGAATAAATAAAATCTTTAAAAAAAAATAAAATAAAGTTTCATTAGAGATATTTGCATTCTACTTATTTATTTTTAAAGATTTTAATTTTTTTAAGATTTTATTTATTTATTTGACAGAGAGAAACACAGCAAGAGAGGGAACACAAGCAGGGGGAGTGGGAGAGGGAGAAGCAGGCTTCCCCGGGGAGCAGGGAGCCCGACGCCGGGGTGGATCCCAGGACCCTGGGATCATGACCTGAGCCAAAGGCAGATGCTTAAAGACTGAGCCACGCAGGTGCCCCTAAAGATTTTATTTTTGAGTAATCTCTACACCCAATGTGGGGCTCAAACCCACAACCCCGAGATCAAGAGTCACATGCTACTGACTGCCAGCCAGGCACCCCAGAGATATTTGTTCTCTAATAATTGCCTTTAATATCAGTAAAATGAAATAATACAGGAATTTCAAAATGGATTTCAGGGTTAGTGAATAAAATCAGGCCTTCATGCTTTTTGTTCCATGTTATTCAAATCACACCGTCTTGATTTTTTTTTCTCAATGAAAATTCCTGTATTCTGGGAAAGTTCAATTTTCTGGAAGATACCGACCAGCAAAGGAAACACATACCCTACTTACATGCAGCCCCCCTAGCCCGCAGTTTCTAAATCTGCTTTCTCCTCCCCCTCCCCCATACATCCCCTGATCTTAAAAAAGAAATCTCCATTTTTTTTGTTTTTGTTTTTATTACCCAATAAACACATGGAAGATGGCTTTCCTCTTTTTCTTTAACTTTAGAAAAGAAAGATAATATATGAAATTGAACTGGGTAGGAAATATGGATTTAAAGCAGTACTGAAGTTCTTGGGAAACTGAATTTATAAAAATTATAATATAAAGTTACACTTTACATTCCTCTGGGGCAGAAAGACTACTATGAGCTATCAGATGCTACATTATTTTTTTTAATTTTTTATTGTTATGTTAATCACCATACATTACATCATTAGTTTTTGATGTAGTGTTCCATGATTCATTGTTTGTGCATAACACCTAGTGCTCCACGCAGAATGTGCCCTCTTTAATACCCATCACCAGGCTAACCCATCCCCCCACCCCCCTCCCCTCTAGAACCCTCAGTTTGTTTTTCAGAGTCCATCGTCTCTAATGGTTCGTCTCCCCCTCCGACTTACTCCCCTTAATTCTTCCCCCCCTGCTATCTTCTTCTTTTTTTTTCTTAACATATATTGCATTATTTGTTTCAGAAGTACAGATCTGTGATTCAACGGTCTTGTACAATTCACAGCGCTCACCATAGCACATACCCTCCCCAATGTCTATCACCCAGCCGCCCAATCCCTCCCACCCCCCACCACTCCAGCAGCCCTCAGTTTGTTTTCTGAGATTAAGAATTCCTCCTATCAGTGAGGTCATATGATACATGTCTTTCTCTGATTGACTTATTTCACTCAGCATAACACCTTCCAGTTCCATCCATGTCATTGCAAATGGCAAGATCTCATTCCTTTTGATGGCTGCATAATATTCCATTGTCTATATATACCACATCTTCTTTATCCATTCATCTGTCGATGGACATCTTGACTCTTTCCACAGTTTGGCTATTGTGGACATTGCTGCTATAAACATTGGGGTGCACGTACCCCTTCGGATCCCTACATTTGTATCTTTGTGGTAAATTATCAGATGCTACATTAATAACTCATGTTAGATTTTTTATCTTTTGGCTGAATCTCAAGGGATATAGTTAGGGTTCCTGATAGAGAAATTGAAAAAATGAAGGATATTTGCAAGTAAGGTATGCATAAATATGATTAATAAGTAGCGTTTAAGTATGATATGAGTGCATATATGTACATTAGCAGGCTGTTTCAACCAGTTACAATTTAAAGAGTGGTTTGATACTATCTTTAGAAACTAGATCTGCCTTGTCTCCAAGCAACAGGTTCAGCAGGCAGCACCTTCTGAAGTCTGGCTAAACTGTGAGGATCTGAAGTGGAACCTTCCTGAAGACATTGCCATTATTACTGGGCATACCTCAGCATCAATTCCTGACTGCTCTATGCAGACTCTCCTTGGAAGCACCTTGGATCACCATTACTAGATCTGTTTCATGCTTCTTTTATCTCCAGCATGTCAGGCCCTCTCCAGTTTTTAAACCACTCAGATCCAGGAAGGTTTGCTACTGGCCAAAGCAAAGGGCTCCATGAGGCTAAGTCATCAAAAGTCAAGCATCTATCAGTTCACACATCTCAGAAAAATAGCCCAGTGGTGAGTTGTACACTGGCATTTTTTTTTTGCCCCATTCTTAGAAGGTAGAGGTAAAACAACTCCTGCACAACTGAGAGCTAGAAGAAAGGAAAGTCTGGTTCTGTTTGCCCATTGGCCTGTGCTAGCACCCTTTCATGTCCTTGCTAGTGAATGACCCAAGACATGAGGTTAAATGATCTTTCATTTCTTTTGATTCTGGCTTGACTCTAGAATAAGGAGCAGGGGTGCCTGGGTGACTCAGTCAATTAAGCAGCTGACTCGGTTTTGGTTCAGGTCATGATCTCAGGGACATGAGATTGAGCCCTGCATTGGGCTCTGTGCGCAGCGGGGAGTCTGCTTGAGGATTCTCTTCCTCTCCCTCTCTCCCTATCCCCCTCTCACACTATGCATGCTCTCTCCCTTTCTCTCTCTCTCTCAAGTAAATAAATAAATAAATAAATAAATAAATAAATAAATAAATCTCTAAAAAAAATAGAATAAGGAGCAGTGAAGAATCTAAATCTAATGGAACCTCAAAGTGGATTTTATTTATATTTTGCCTTTTTGGTGGTTCTGACATTTCACTGAGGCCCAACAATCCCAAAACAATATAAAAGTAGACTCTAAAGGGCCTCTAAGATAATTTGATCCAACCCCATAATTTTCTAAATTAGGAAATAACATGAGAGAGGCCACAGTGATGCGGGGCCAGAACTAAGTAGTCTGAGTCCCATTACCTTCTAGTGCACCAAATTACCCCCTTGGTTCACAGCCTTGTTTTATTAGGGCTAGACCCTATGAGAATCTTCCTGAAAATTAAATATCCTCTTGGATCAGTTGATGTCCCTTCCATTAATATTTTTAAGACCACGAGAAAGATCCACCCAGTCTTTACCGTAAAGCATCTAGGGGGTGAAGCCTGAGCTTGGGGTGAAGATGGGGGTTAGAATAGTTTATTTCCTCCTCCCTCTATTGGCTTTAAATGAGGATGACAAGCCTAGTTTCTTTGCTAGGAGAGGAAATGTTTTACAGTAAAAGTAAGTAAGTCGACGGATGAATAGATAAATGTTACGTGTGTATATGTATATATTCACATATACCCACTATACAGATTTAAATTTGAAATTTCCCCCCAAATTTGCTTCACTTTTTTAAAAGAGATAAAACTTCCAGAGCACCTGTCTGGCTCAATTGGTAGAGCATGCGGCTCTTGATCTCAGGGTCATGAATTCCAGCCCCATGTTGGGTGTAGAAATTACTTAAAAATAAAATCTTGAAAAAGGAGAGAGAGAAAACTTCATGGATAACAGTTGAAGACTGTTTTGTAACTTTTGATCCCATCCCCAATTTTTGGGATGGATGATTTAAAAATTTTAACAAGTAGGATCAGACATTAACCAGTAAGAATCTTTGCCATTCCTAGCACTGGGGCAGGCCCGGGAGTCCCTGCTGTTGAGCATTAGGCATCTTGGTTAGTAGACTGAAGGGGGGTGAGTGCACCCAGGGTCTGAGGTAGTGAGAGAAGGAGGTGTTAAGGCAGCTGGTATTACAAGGCTCTATGAAGTGTTATTTGACCATCTTGGACCATTTTTTTTTCCTTTTCAGAGATAACTATACTGAACTAAGTATATAACTATGTTCTTACATATATGTGGATACTTCTGTTTTGGGCATTTAAAAAATTACATAAATGATATTCTAGACATAACTTTCTGCTATGCTATTTGCATTCAATCTTATGTTTTTGAAAGTTGTTCTTTTTGATTCACATAAGTTTAGTATGTGCACATTAACTGCTGCATAGAATTTCATTACAAATTAATATATCACAATTGTTATACATTTTATTTTTTCTTATATAAACAGCTTGCAGTGAGTATTCTTATACAGCATGCCTCCTCGTCCATGTCTTCTAAATATGAAATAAAAAAATTTTCAGGCTGTATTTGAAAGAGCTGTCTACAAAAATTAAATTACAGGGTGACTATTTCTTATTTTTATAAATTAAAAGCCTATTGGATATCATAGTTATTATTTTTATTTTTATTATTGGTGTTTTAAATCTTAATGATATTGCAAAAAAATGAATATTTTCTGTACATACCTTTCTTACATAATGCTGAAAGCTAAATATGCACTGAAGTATTGAGGGAATAAAAAAATATTAAATACAATTATTTAAAAAATATAGTGATACTGCAATGTACTAAATAAGACACCTAGCACATTTTAACCAATGTACTCTTGTGTTAGATCTCAGATATGCTGTCAAGTTAGTCATGTTAGTTCATTGTACATTATCATCTTTCTGTGCAAGCTTCCTCTTCCTTTTTTTTCCCATCTCCATTTCTATCTCCTCTCAGTCTAATATGTTTGATATATGTCTTTGAATATATATGTATCTTTCAAAAGTATCTATTTTTGTGTATGAATTTATTTTTTAAAATATATCATACTTAGAAAATTTTAAAATGTATACACACGGGGTCCCTGGGTGGCTCAGTCATTAAGCGTCTGCCTTCGGCTCAGGTCATGGTCCCAGGGTCCTGGGATCAAGCCCCACATCAGGCTCCCTGCTCAGCGGGGAGCCTGCTTCTCCCTCTCCCACTCCCCCTGCTTGTGTTCCCTCTCTCACTGTCTCTCTCTCTCTCTCTGTCAAATAAATAAATAAAATCTTTAAAAAAAAAGTATACACACAGATTAGATAATAAGAAAAATACCTGTGAACCTGCTTCCTAGTTCCATAGAGCACTGCCAGTAACTGAGACACTTCCTGTGTGCCCCTTCTTAACTGAATCCCTTTGCTGCCACCTAAAATTCAAAATAGTAGTTATTTTATTTTTGTTTTAATTAAAAATTTTTTTTAAGTAGGCTCCATGCTGGGCCTGGAGCCCAACGCGGGGCTTGAACTCACGACCATGAGATCAAAACCTGAGCAGAGATCAAGAGTTGGACACTTAACTCACCGAGCCACCCACATGCTCCAGAATAGTGGATATTTTGAATTTTGTGTTAATCATTCCTTGTTTTTTTTCCTAGTTTAATCACCCATATATGTATGCCTAATTAAAATTATTTTTATACATTTTGAAAGGTTGTTTGAATAGAATAATACTGCTTTTATTCTTTTGTTACTTCTTTTGCTTTGTGAGATTTGTGTTGCTGTATCTAGTTATTAATAACTTTCATCATTGTGTATTATTTTACTGTATGAATATACCACAAGTTATTTATCTATTAAACTCTTATTTGACATGTGAGTTTTCAGTTTTTTGCTTTTTCAAATAATGTTGATAATCTTTGCTTTTAACTGGAAAGTTTAGTCCATTTCCATTTATTGATATTACTTACTAGTTGGAGATATCTCTATCATTGCATTATGCATATTCTATTGTCCCATTATTTTTCTGTTCCTTTTCCTTCCTCTTATCATGTCAAAAACTGATATTTTTGTTTTGTTGTTTGTATTGATTTTTTTCATTCCATTTTTTCCTTTTCTACTAGTTTAGAAGTTATATGCTATATGACCCCTGTTTTACTACTTAGATTAGCTATTTTAACATGTATAATTAACAGTTAATTGGAATTTTTATGTTACTTCTGAAAAATCTGAACATTTTATAGTGCTTTAGACTATTTCTCTCCTCTCAATGTATATGCCTTTTTTTTGTCCTGTATTGGTTCTATTCTTTATTTTCAACCCCATAAATCAAATTTTTTAAATTAATGCTTATTTAAATATACCCACATATTTACTATTATTTTTGTCCACTATTCTTTTTTTTTAAGATTTTATTTATTTGACAGAGAGAGACACAGCAAGAGACACACAAGCAGAGGGAGTGGGAGAGGGAGAAGCAGGCTTCCCACTGAGCAAGGAACCCGATGTAGGGCTCGATCCCAGGACCCTGGGATCATGACCTGAGCTGAAGCAGATGCTTAACGACTGAGCCACCCAGGCACGCCTTTTGTCCACTATTCTTGCTGGTATTTCAGACTTTATGACTTAATTTTTTATGTGAAATCTATCCTTTAGAATTTCTTAAATGAGGGCATATTGGTAAATTCAGTTTTGGTTTGCCAAAATGTCTTTGTGCTACCCCATATTAAAACAATTTCATTCAGTATAAAATTCTAACTGCCGGTTATAATATATCCTTGATTTGAAGAAACACTACTATTTTATGCACTATTACAAAATTTAAAAATTTTGCCAACTAACTTATCCACAATATGAAATGATACCAACTTTAAGATGCACCCCAGTTAGGGCCACCTGGGTGGCTCACATGGTTAAGCATCTGACTTGTGATTTTGGCTCAGGTCATGATCTCAGGGTCATGAGACAGCCCTGTGTTGGGCTCCATGCTTAGCAGGGAGTCTGCTTGGGATTCTCTCTCTCCCTCTGCTCCTCTCCCCTCTCCCTCTCTCTTTCTCAAATAATAAATAAATCTTAAAAAAAAAAAGATGCATCCCAGTTGCAGAGATGTGACAACTTGTGTCTCAGTATCAGTGAAAGATGATATATTTTTCTTAGTGCATTACAGCTATCCTTTTGCTGTTTTCTAGCTTCTGTGTTCTTGAGAAGTCACTCCCCAGTCCAACATCCATTTCTTTGTAATTATCTGTCCTTTCTATCATTTGCTTTTTAGATAATTCTTTGACATTCTGCAATTTCATTATGAGTGTTTAGGTAAGGAATTCTTTTTATTTACTCTTCTTGGGATTTGCTTGGCCACTTTATTGATATCTTTCAACAATTCTGTAAAATTCTTAGACATTATGTCTTTAAATATTGCCTCTTCCCATTTTCTAAGTTATAAAATTCTTGGATTCCAAATAGACATATGATAGACCACCTCATGTTGTTCTCTGTGTCATTGAACTCTCTTTTACATTTACCACTTATTTTTTCCCATATGCTGTCCTCTTGATAATTCCTTCATATAAATTCACTCGTTCTTCAGGTAGGTCTAATCTGCTTTTTAATGTGTCCATTCAATTTTTTAAAATATTTATTTATTTATTTATTAGAGAGAGAGTGAAGGGAGTATGAAAGGGGAGAAGGTCAGAGGGAGAAGCAGGCTCCCTGCTGAGCAGGGAGCCTGATGTGGGACTTGATCCCGGGACTCCGGGATCATGACCTGAGCTGAAGGCAGTCGCTTAACCACTGAGCCACCCAGGCAACCCTCCATTCAATTTTTGAATTAAAATTATTATACTTTTCATTTCTAGAAATCTTATTTAGTTGTTTTTTCCAACATGTTTATTTTTTGTGGTCTTGTGACTTATTTATATTTTCAAAATTCTCTTTTATTTTTTATTAAAGATCTTTAAAAACTTATTTTTATTTCATATTAATATTATTATTTTTTTTAGAGAGAGAAAGAGTGTGTGCAAGCAGAAGGAATGAGGGGCAGAAGGAGAGGGAGATAAGGAAACTTATGTAGGTTCCACACTCAGCGCAGAGCCCACAGGGCCCAATCTCATGACTCTGAGATCATGACCTGAGCAGAAATCAAGAGTGGGTGTTTAACTGAATGAGCCACCCAGGAACCCCAGAGATTTTACTTTTAAGTAATCTCTACACCCAACCTGAGGCTTGAACTCACAATGTCAAGATCAGGAGTTGCACTCTCCACCTACTGAGCCAGCCAGGCACCCCTCTTTTATTTCTTTAAATAGTTAAACATAGTTATTTTGTATCCTCTTGTGCAGTTCTATTTCCTAGTATTTTAGTAAGCATAAAATTCTAAAACCTGATAACTTTAGAAAAATACATTTTGTTCCTTTAGTACTTTAAGTACCATGTGATACATTTATACACTTTTTAGAGATTTATGTTAATGCATTTTTCTTGGTTTTATTTGAATCATATAAAATTTGTTCCTTTTTTTTTTAAGATTTTATTTATTTATTTGACAGAGAGCACACAGTGAGAGAGGGAACACAATCAGGGGGAGTGGGAGAGGGAGAAGCAGGCTTCCTGCAGAGCAGGGAGCCCAATGGGGGTCTCAATCCCAGGACCCCGGGATCATGACCTGAGCCGAAGGCAGACGCTTAAGGACTGAACCACCCAGGCACCCATAAACTTTGTTCTTAACAAAAGTTATACAAATTACAATTACACTTTGCACACCCTTTTGACAATAGGAGGAGATATTGTATTACAGGTAAATACGCCCTAATCTTTACCCTCGATATAGGTGTGGAAGAAACACAAAATTGTTGTTGATTTACTGAAATCAGATTTTAAAAAATTAATTTGTATAATAATGTAATGCATAGGAAGTGATTTGTAACCAAAAATAAAACAAATAGTGGCATATCTTTCATCAGTGACCTTCTAATATTTCACGTTTCTATAAAGGTTTTATTGGATGTGAGTTAAAATTTCCCCAGATGTCTTATATGTGTTTTCTTGATTCCTATACTCTTAGAAATTATATTTATTTAGATGTACTTTATTTAAGGTGTTATATATTATCAGGTAGCAATTTTTTAAAAAACATAAAGTGGTCTTTTAGGTCAACATGTTGTTATTTTCCTGAGACCCATTGCATTGGTTACCATAGCACCTCCAAATAAATATTTTAAAGTTGTATTCTGTTTCAAGCTACTTATTTGAGCTTCTGTGGGTTAGAACATTGTTGGTTTTGATCAATAGGGTACATGTTTAGTTAATTAATTTGTAATTTCTCTTTGTAGGCTTGTTTTGATCTACCTTTTGTGGTTCCCACTAAGAACCCAATGATGTACAACAAAAGGGCAGCTGACCGAGTCCGTCCTGACCTTACTGGTTTGTTGGTGAAAAACAAGAACCTTTTAGCGGAGGTATATGGATTATCCGAAAATAAAATGCCAAGGGAAATTATATCCTCTGTAAAAGTAGGGAGAGAAACATTCTGATAAGGGACTCAAAGTATTATCTTAACTCAGTTTTGCTTTTCTCTCAATATTGAACTGTCTTATCACTGAAGAGCACTAATTTAGACCCAAGTCTGGCAAAAGATAAATCCTTTTGAAGATCATACGTAGTTAAGTGCTTTTGAGTTGATTGCTAAATGCTATAGTGTTAAAATAGTGTTTAGGAACTGCCATGCTCAAAATTTATGTAAAAATAATCAATTATATGTTTTAAGCATTTTTTAATGGAAAGGTTGTGTTCCTATTTAAAACATAACATCAGATGTAAAATATCCACTAGTCTTATATAACACTTGATGAAACAGGGCTCCTGGATGGCTCAGTTGGTTAACTGTCTGCTTTCGGCTCAGGTCATGATCCCAGGGTCCTGGGATCAAGCCCTGCATCAGGCTCCTTGCTCAGCAGGGAGCCTGCTTCTCCCTCTCCCTCTGCCTGCCACTTCTCTTCCTCTTCCTCTTCCTCCTAGATTTATTGCCATATAATTGCCATACAGCATTATGTAAGTTTGAGATGACAATGTGATGTTTTGATATACATATATTTTGCTAAATAATGACCACAATAAGGTTAATTAATGTTTTCATCACCTCACGTAATGACTGTGTGTGTGTGTGTGGTGAGAAGGTTGGTTGCTTCTGAGACCTCTTTTCTTTGTTTATAGATAGCCATCTCTTCTCTGTGTCATTACACAGTCTTCCCTCTGTAACTGTGTCCAAATTTCTTCTTCTTATAAGAACATCAGTCACATAGGCTAATGGCTCACCCTAAAGATTTCATTTTAACTTAATTACCTTTTTAAAGGCCCTGTCCTCAGGGCACCTGGGTGGCTCAGTCAGTTAAGCAGCTGACTCTTGATTTCTGCTCAGGTCATGATCTCTGGCTCTGTGCTCAGTGGGGAGCCTGCTTCTCCCTCTGCCTGCTGTTCCTCCTGCTTGTGCTCTCTCTCTCTCTGACAAATAAATAAATAATTAAAGTCCTTGTCCTCAAATATAGTTACATTCTGAGTCACTGAGGGTTAGTACTTCAACATATGAATTTTGGGAAGACAAAACTAAGCCCTTATTCCTTATTCCTTGGGGCCTCTTTTCTGCTGTCTCATCTCTCAATAGTCTGACTCCAGGCTTTCTTTAAATATATAGATAAAGAGGGATACCTGGCTGGCTCAGTTGTTTAAGTATCTGACTTTTGATTTTGGCTCAGGTCATGATCTCAGGGTCATGAGATGGAGCCTCAAGTCAGGCTCCACAGTCAGCGTGGAGCCAACTTAAGATTCTCTCTTTCCCTCTCCCTTTGCCCCTCTCCCCGACTTGCATGCACTTTCTCAAAATAGAAAATATGTATCTATATCTGTAGATACGTAGATAAAAACATATTTCTTTCAATTTTATTTATTCTAATATTTTCCCTCCTTTAGCATAGAGGTGAATGAACTTAAATTTAAACGGAGTTTATATAAATACAATCCATTTTATAACACTGAAAAGATTTCTTAATTTGTCTTTTTTTTTTCCAGAAAAATGTAATGCCAATACCTGAAAACTGTAGCAGTTTTAGTATGGGTAGTATCACTCTTCTTGTCCACAATATAACTTCCTATTAATATTTACTAAATTTGAGATTTTTGATCATTCAGATCTGGATTAGATTAAGGTTTATGTCTATGCTTAATTCATAAAGAAACCTTTTAAACCAAATCGTCAAAAAAGATCACAAGTTTTAAACCTTGTCAAAAGAAAATATGTAAATTATTTTTAAGAATTTCTAAGTACTTGGGGCACCTGGGTGGCTCAATCGTTAAGCGTCTGCCTTCAGCTCAGGTCATGGTCCCAGGGTCCTGGGATTGAGCCCCACATCAGGCTCCCTGCTCGGCGGGAAGCCTGCTTCTCCCTCTCCCACTCCCCCTGCTTGTGTTCCCTCTCTCGCTGTGTCTGTCTCTGTCAAATAAATAAATAAAATCTTTATTTAAAAAAAAGAATTTCTAAGTACTTTTTATTTATTTATTTATTTTGAATATTTTATTTGAGAGAGAGAGAGCATGAGCAGGGGGGAGAGGCCGAAGGAGAGGGAGGAGCAGACTCCCTGCTCAGCAGGGAGCCCGATGTCAGGCCTGATCCCAGGACCCGGAGATCATGACCTGAGCCAAAGGCAGATGCTTAACTGACTGAGCCACCCATGCACCCTCAAAGTACTTTTTAAAAGCAAATCTCTGCATGTACATAAATCATTTGGTAACTATAAATATTTTTAATCTATTTATCAAAGCAGGTGTATGAAAGGCTCTACAAGATCTCATTTTGACTTCGTTTTAGATGGTATGTATATTAATAAAAGAGTCTAGAGATTTCAACAGAATACCTCAGCATGAGTCATCTTTCTCTTTTCCAATAACCTATAATTTAATCCCACAGGAACACAATTGTCTTGATAAGGCAGTTTTTCTATTCACTGCATGAATTTAAACTTTTTTGTCATAATCAACTTTATTTCTTTCTGAGACATACAAAAATAATTATCATGTGTTTCTGCCCAATAATGGAGAAACAGGTACAAGAGGGGCTATATTTAAGAAAAGTCAGATATGGACGTGATAAATATTAAAGTGTTCAGTTGGTGATTGTGTTGTCTAGGCACGACAGTTGAACAGTTGGCATAGTGCTGGATAAGTTGTTTAAATAGGAGTTAAACAACTTGTAAAAAATGTTACTGATAATATGTGTAATAAGGCCTGGCGTGTTAAACTTAAAATAAATGTAAAGTGTTTTGCCAGTATTTTTAGTTGGATTTTTCATGGAAATTTTTTATTTGTGAGGGCAATATGACTGTGTTTATGCAGATAAGATGTTTTTTCTTTCCTTAGTGTAGTAATAAGGCAAATAGTAGAAACCTGGTAGATGCAGCCTTGAAGGGGGTGAATGGAAAATTGGCAATGTCAATTTTGCTGCTAAAGAAAAATATACCAAAACCAATTATTATTAATTTTACTTGCAATTTTTATTAAGATAATTGAAGAAGCACATGCAGTTTTAAGAAATAATAGAGAGAGATCCTTTATACACTTTGCTGAGTTTATCCCGTAGTCAATTTTGTAAAATATAACATAATGTAACAACCTGAATATTGACATAAATGCAACATGGTCTACCAGTCCACCAATCTTATTCAGATGTCCCCTGTTTTACTGGTATTCATCTGCGTGTTTGTGTGTATAAAGTTCTAAATAATCAGTCAAGATACTGAACAGTTTGAACACCACAAAGATCTTTCCTGTTGCCATTTTATATCCACACCCACTTCCTTCCTACCCTCAACCCTTGGTAACCACTAATCTTTCCTTCATTCTAAAATGTTGTCATTTCAAAAATATTTTATACTCAAAAAGCTAAACATAGAGTTATCATGACCTTTAAAAGAAGAGTGATATTATATGATCTGAAGTGACAACTAAGGATAGAATAGATATCCTTTGCTTGTGTCCTTAGAACATTCTGCTCATACCACTATTATTATACCCGTTAAAGTATATTCTAATTATTTGTTTTATAATTGGTCTCCCTAATGAGCTGGGAAATTTTTGAGAGTTCTTAATTTTCTCCTGGCACATGCCTGGAACATAGAAGATACTGGAGGCTTGTTGGTCAAATGAAGAATGGCTTAGAGAGGTGCTAGATGGGAAGCAGGAAGACCAAGTGGGAGGTCCTGTAACAGTGCATGAGATGAACAATGGGGCCCTAAAACAAGACAAGGCAGCAAAGCAGCAGGCATGGGAACAGAGGGATAGATATGAGAGACATATTAGAGGTAAAATGAACAGACCTAGTAACTAGAGGGGAGGATTTAAAAAAGGGTTAATCAAAAATGACTCTGATCTAATTAACATGTTTTTACAAAAATATAAATGAATTTTGAACTTTCCATTTTTAAAACATTTAATCTTATTATCTTTTCTAAATGGATTTTTCATAGAATACTTAGCCCATTATTTTAAGTAAATACATTTATAATTAAATAAATCGGTCTTAAAACAGGCTCTGATCTGCAATACATAGACATAGGGATGAAGCAAATCATATTTTGGTTAAAAAGTAGAAACTGACAAATGAACACCTGGAGAAAGGAGTGGATGTGCTCAAAAAAGGCTACAGGGGCCCAGGGCTGGCTTAGTCAGTAAGAGTATGCAGCTCTTAACCTCAGGGTCATGAGTTCAAGCCCAATATTGGGTGTGGGGCCTAGTTAAAAAAAAAAAAAAAGCTACAAAAGAATAGCTCCTTTGTAATAGCTAACATAGGAGTAAAAAGTTTTACTTGTATGAAAAGTAAGAAGGGGGGAGAATCTGACCCTAGAGTTTATTTAGCACAAGTTAGAAAAATTTAAACCAAACCATTTCATTATCAACCAGTGATGGTGAATAATTTTCTTAACTAATCACTCCTTTTCTCTAGGGAGAATTTGTTAAATTTATTATTTCATTAGTGGTTGTATTTTATTCTAAGAAATTTTAGTTTAATGATACTGTAATTTTTTTTTAAGAATTCCTTTCCTCACTACTTCAGACTGCAAAACTGATTCCTATTCAGAATTTTGTCAGAATGTCCTAAAAACCCAACTTCATATTATAAGCCATGTTCCTCTATGGTAGGAAGGCTGTAGTATCCTTTGAGAATTGCTTAAGGGTCAAGACTATAGAGCAGCTTTTAATAATGCATATTTTGGGGGAAATGGAATAGTATTTTAAAAAGAAGATGGGTCTGTGCCAAAAATGAAATTAAAAAGCAGTCTAAATGATGAAGTCAGTGCAACCTAGAGACTGTGGGGCTGGCCATGAAGTGTTCATTCAATTCCAGACTCTTCTTCACCCTGGGAAGCTTTATAAAATATAAGATGAATTTTAAAAACCCATGCATTCATTTATATCTTCTGTGGTCATTTAAAGAAACCCTCCCCCCCCATATAGAATTTGTTACATCCAGTTTAGCACAGTTCCTTAATATCAGCACAAGGAATCCTTCCATGCAAGAGAAAAAGAACCACCAAAGAAAACTGGAAAGAAGTAATCAGGGAGGAAGAGAAAAAGGAGTTTCATGAATGCCAAGAATCAGTCATGGATTCACTGCAAAAAGCAGAAACCACCTTAAGTATTTCAAACTGAAAATGATTTAATAGAGAATTAAATTCTCTAAATTATTAAATTAAATTTAATAGAGAATTAAAAAGAGCATTATGTATACAGAGTGATTGGAAGTTCTGGGTGTGGGAGCTGAGGCCAGAACTGGATGAATGAGTTCAAGGACACACACTGTGGATGAGATCCTGAGGTCAGGAAGTTGCTGCAACTGCCGCTGAGCCTTTATTTTATTTATTTATTTTTATTTTTTAAAAGATTTTATTTATTCATTTGCGAGAGAGAGACAGAGAAGATGAACAGGAGAGGGGCAGAATGGAAGCAGACTCCCCACTGAGCTGGGAGCATGAAGCAGTCCAGCCCCAAGGACCCTGAGATCATGACCCCAGCCACAACCCTAGAGGAAGTCAGATGCCTTAACCCACTCAGGTTAAGGTGTCTGACAGAGCCAGACACCCTCCACTGAGCCTTTACTGCACAGAGCTGCTTCTCAACCCCCATGAAGCTGTTAGCTAAGTAATGCAATGTTTTTCTCTGGCTCCCTCCTTGATCTTGCTTACCAGCAGAATTAGTGGTGGGAAAACGGCCTCCTCTCTATTCTAAATTTTGTGGGAGTACATCTCTTTCGTGCAGCTCAGTGTACACCTAGCATGGCTCTCAAAGTGTAGTTCCCCAGACCAGCAACATGAACGTCACCTGGGAACTTGGTAGAAATACAAATTCTCAGACCCCATGCCAAACTAGGAACTCTGGATGTAGGCCTAGCAATCTGTTTTTTAATGAGCCCTCTAGGTGATTCTCATGCATTGCTGAAGTTTGAGAACCACTGGCCTAGAGAACCCCAGGCCCCACAAGGACTCTGGAAACAAAGTTTTATTTCTAGTTCTGCAGAATAAGAAGACATCATAGGGGTGGAAATAGATACCAAGTGCCAATGACCATATCCAGAAAAGAGCATGGTCAATGGTGTCAAATGCTTCAGTGACATGTGGAATCTGGTGACAACTGAAAAGAAATTATTGAATCTGGTAAGGGACCACTGGTGACTTTTGAGAGAAGAGTTTCCGTGGTGGAGAATAAGGGATGAGAAATGGAATGATATAAAAATGGAATTATAGTGGATGAAGAATGAGCACAGAGGATTCTTACTGTCAGTGTGGCTGGGCAATGAAGAAGAGAAATGGGCTTTAGCTTGAGCTCGAATCTTTCACTTAATCTTCAGGATCTTGTTTGTGCCCTCTACCACCTCTTCTCCATTTCAAATATCTCAGTCATTTCTGCAGCTAATTAGGGAAGTTTGTGGAGTGCCTTTTGTATGACATAATTTCAAGTTCTAAGGGAGCACAGACTTCAATTTAGTGTGTACCTGCAATTTAGCTGTATGTATTCAATTTAGTCTATTATATTTTTGTATGTGACAGACACCACGTTAGGTCTTTGATATATGTTATTTTTATTCCTTACAAGCACAATGTGAGGTGCGTAAGAAAATTTAACTGACTTGCCTATGGCCACAGTTTGTCTTGTTCCTCCAAATTTTGAGGTCTTTCTCTTCTTCCATACTTTCTTTCTCTATAAACTCCATGGCCTCACTGAAGTGTGTGTTTTTAGTGGTGATATAATAAAAAAATACATAACAGTATGTTTTGAGAACATTGTTTTAATTTCACAGAATTTTTTAGAACTAGAACACATTTTATACACACACTGGACTAAAAATTTAGTTTAAAATGCCTTGTCTTCCCACTGCTGTACTATTAGGAATTATAGCATTTGTCATTAATGCAATTTTTTTCTTTTTTTTTATTATTATGTTATGTTAGTCACCATACAGTACATCATTAGTTTTTGATGTAGTGTTCCATGATTCATTGTTTGTGTATAACACCCAGTGCTCCATGCAGAACGTGCCCTCCTTAATACCCATCACTGGCCTAACCCATCCCCCCAGCCCCTTCCCCTCTAAAACCCTGTTTGTTTCCTGGAGTCCATAGTCTCTCATGGTTCATCTCCCCTTCTGATTCTGCCCATTTTTTGACTTGATTATTTGTTTTTTGGGTGTTGAGTTTGAGAAGTTCTTTACAGATCATGGATATCAGCCCTTTATCTGTAGTGTCATTTGCAAATATCTTCTCCCATTCTGTGGGTTGCCTCTTTGTTTTGTTGACTGTTTCTTTGCTACGCAGAAGCTTTTTATCTTGATGAAGTTCGAAAAGTTCATTTTCGCTTTTGTTTCCCTTGCCTTTGGAGACATGTTTTGAAAGAAGTTGCTGTGGTCGATGTCCAAGAGGTTACTGCCTATGTTCTCCTCTAAGATTTTGATGGATTCGTGTCTCACATTGAGGTCTTTTTTTTTTTTTTTTTTGTCAATAACTAAATATTCCTGACCCCTTTCTGGTTATACAGCTAATGATTTTTTATAATGTCAAATCAAACTTGCCCCCTTTCCTCCTCTTTTACAAGTTTATCAGTCTATTAAGAAATTTGAACAAATTAGGTTACATTAAAAGTTAATTGACCCCTGAATGTTGCCAGTACCTCAGTTTTCTTTATCTAGTGAGATTTCTTCCCTTATCAGATAGAAGAGCAGAGACTTTTTTTTTTAAAGATTTTATTTATTTGATAGAGAGATAGAAAGAGCCAGAGAGCATAAGCGGCGGGGGTGGGGGGGGTGGGGGCGGGGGTAGGGGAAATGGCAGAGGGAGAGGGAGAAGCAGGCTTCCCACCAAGGAGGGAGCCTGACGCTGGGCTCTATCCCAGGACCCTGGGATCATGACCTGAGCCAAAGGCAGACACGTAACCGACTGACCACCTAGGCGTCCCTGGTCTTTTTCAGGTAGCAGCTTGTGGCTCTCTTATGTTGCTTCCCCTCTCACAGGCCATCACTCTTCATAACTTTATGATCTTTTCTTTCCTTTATTTGCCTTAAAAATATAGTCAATTAATTAATTAATTAATTTTTAAAAGATTTTATTTATTTACTTGACAGTGAGAGCGAGAGAACATAAGCAGGGGGAGCAAGAGAAGGAGAGGGAGAAACAGGCTCCCCGCTGAGTAGGGAGCCCAATGCAGAGCTCCATCCCAGGACTCTGAGATCATGACCTGAGCTGAAGACAGACGCTTAATCATCTAGATCACCCAGGTGCCCCAAAATATAGTCAATTTAAGCCTCATTCTTTCTTCTCACTCTCCTATTCACCCATTTCTCTGATCAGCACAGACAAGGCCAGGAAACAAGTGGTATAAACATAGGCATCTCTTTGTGAAAGAGGCCTCTGAACACATTGCCCTTCACAACCAGCATAAAGCAAGCATCTATGGCCAAAGCATTAAGTATTTCTTTTCTGCTAGGAATTATACAATTCATAACAAGATTTAAACAACTTTAATGTTGATGAGAACAAAATAACTTATTCCAAACCCTATGTGTCATTTTGATGGATTTTTTAAATTATACTGCTTTAGTTTTTATTTTATTTTTTTTAAGTTTATGTATTTATTTAAGTAATCTCTACAGTCAACATGGGGTTCAAACTCACAACTCTGAAATCAAGAGTGCAAGCTCTTCCACCTGAGCCAGCCAGGCACCCCTTGAAATAATTTTTAAAATATATGTAACATTGGAATATACTGTTAGGAGATTTGAGGGTCTTTATTTTATTGTATCATAATGTATAATTAGGGCACCTGGGTGGCTTAGTCAATTGAGTGACTGACTCTTGATCTTGGCTCAGGTCATGATCTCTCGGGGACCTGGGATCGAGCCCCAAGTGGGGCTCTTCACTCAGGAGTCTGCTTCAGGACTCTCTCCCTCTTTCTCCCTTTGCCCCAACCGCTGCTCGCTCATTGTCTCTCAAATAAATGAATAAGTCTTTTTAAAAAATAATGTATAACTTAAATACCCATAGTGATTTAAAGTCATGAATTTTCTAAAACCAAAATTATGATTTTCCCTTTCTCATTAGCTAAGAAATCTTCAAAACAAGCTTCTCATAAAAGAAACTTCCTTGCAAGAAATGAAGAATGAGCTAGAAAGTTACAAAGAAAATAATGTGCAACAGTCTTTCCAGATAATGTCCCTGAAAGATGATATCAAGGATCTAGAGGAACTTATTGCTTCTCTAACCAGAATTAAATCTTTGAAAAACACCAATATTCAGAATCTTGAAAGAGGCAACTGGGATCTAACTGAAAGAATTATAGAACTAGAAAACCGTCTAAGGTAGGAAATTTTCTAGTTTGTTTTCAAACGTGTCATTTGTCATAGCTTGAAAACAGTATATAAACTTCACATTCCTGATTGATCACAGAATTTAAACTTAGTAGGATTTCCTATAATACCTGACTCAAAATTACTATGTTTAAAAAGACATTTTTATTGAGATATAATTCACATACCATTAAAATTCACCCTTTTAATCACTTGTACTTCATTAAAAAAGAAAAGAAAAAATTCACCTCTTTAAAGTATACAATTCAGGGCGCCTGGGTGGCTCAGTCGTTAAGCATCTGCCTTTGGCTCAGGTCATGATCCCAGGGTCCTGGGATCGAGCCCCACATCAGGCTCCCTGCTCCGCGGGAAGCCTGCTTCTCCCTCTCCCACTCCCCCTGCTTGTGTTCTCTCTCTCGCTGTGTCTCTCTCTCTGTCAAAATAAATAAATAAAATCTTTGAAAAAAAAAGTACACAATTCATTGGGGAGGCATGTGCTATGGTGAGTGCTGTGAATTGTGTAAGACTGATGAATCACAGACCTGTACCCCTGAAACAAATAATACATTATATGTTAATAAAATAATTTTAAAAAGTATAAAATCCAGTAGTTTTTAGTATATTCACAAGGTTGTGCAATCATTGACTATTCAATTCCGGAACACTTCATCACCCACCAAAGAATCCCCATGTCTATTACCAATTACTCCCCATACCATTCTCTCTAGTCCCTGACAACCACTAATCTACATTCTTTATCTCTGGACTTGCCTTTTCTGGACATTTCACATGAATGCAATCATACAATAGATGGCTTCAGTGTCTCACTTATTTCACTTAGCACAATATTTTTAAGATTAATCCATGTTGAACCATGAATCCGTATACTCCACTCCTTTTTATGGCTGAATAATACTCTGTCGTATGAATATACCACAGTTTTCTTATCCATTCATCAGTTCATGGACATTGGGTTGTTTCCCTTTTTTGGAGGGGTTTTATGAATAATGCTGCTGTGATCATTCTTGTATGAGCTTTTATATGACTGTATGCTTCATTTCTCTTAAGTATATGCCTTGGAAGTAGAATTGCTGGGCCATAAAGTAACTCTATGTTTACTTTTGAGAACTTCCAGACTATTTTCCAAGGCAGCTGCACCATTTTACATTCCCACCAGCAATGTATGAAGATTCCAATTGCTCTACATCCTTACTAACACTTGTTACTGTTCATCTTCTTTATGATAGCCATTCTAGTGGATATGAAGTCACATCTCATTGTGATTTTAATTTGTATTTCCATAAGATTAAAGAGTTGAGCATTTTTTCATGTGCTTATTGGCCATTTGTATATCTTCTTAGTAGAAATATTTATTAAAATCCTTTACCTAATTTTATTTCATTTTTAAAATTTGTTTAAATTTATTATTAATTTTTTAATTTTTAATTTAAATTCAATTAATTAACATATAATATATTATTAGTTTCAGAGGTAGAGGTCAATGATTTATCAGTCTTATATAACACCCAGTGCTCATCACATCATGTGCCCTCCTTGATGTCCATCACCCAGTTACCCCATCCCTCCACCCTCCCTCCCCTCCAGCAACCCTCAGTTTGTTTCCTATGATTAAGAGTCTCTAATGGTTTATCTCCCTCTCTGATTTCATCTTGTGTTATTTTTTCCTCTCTTCCCCTATGATCCTTTGTTTTGTGTCTTAAATTCCACGAGTGAGATCATATGATAATTGTCTTTCTTTGATTGACTTATTTCGCTTCACATAATGCCCTCTCTAGTGCCATCCACGTCATTAAAAATGGCAAGATTCCATTTTTTGATGGCTGAGTAGTACTCCATTGTATATATACCACATCTTTTTTATCCATTCATCGGCTGATGGATATCTGAGCTCTTTCCATAGTTTGGCTATTGTGGACATTGCTGATATAAACATTGGGGTGCAGGTGCCCCTTTGGATCACTACATTTGTGTCTTTGGAGTAAATACCTAGTAGTCCAATTGCTGGGTTGTAGGGTAGCTCCATTTTCACCTTTTTGAGGAACCTCCATACTGTTTTCCAGAGTGGCTGCACCAGCTTGCATTCCCACCAACTGTGTAAGGGGGTTTCCCCTTCTCCACATCTCTGGCAACATCTGTCGTTTCTTGACTTGTTCATTTTAGCCATTCTGACTGGTGTGAGGTGGTATCTCATTGTGGTTTTGATTTGTATTTCCCTGATGCTGAGTGATGTTGAGCATTTCTTCGTGTGTCTGTTGGCCATTTGGATGTCTTCTTTGGAGAAATGTTTATGTCTTCTGCCCATGTCTTGATTGGATTATTTGTTCTTTGGGTGTTGGGTTTGATACATTCTTTACAGATTTTAGAAACTAGCCCTTTATCTGATATGTCATCTGCAAATATCTTCTCCCATTCTGTCAGTTGTCTTTTGGTTTTGTTGACTGTTTGCTTTTCCTGTGCAAAAGCTTTTTATCTTGATGAAGTCCCACTAGTTCATTTTTGCCTTTGTTTCCCTTGCCTTTGGAGAAGTGTCTCGCAAGAAGTTGCTGCAGCTGAGGTCACCAAGGTTGCTGCCTGTGTTCTCTAGGATTTTGATGGACTCCTGTCTCACATTTATGTCTGTCATCCATTTTGAGTCTATTTTTGTGGATGGTGTAAGGAAATAGCCCAGTTTCATTCTTCTGCATGTGGCTGTCCAATTTTCCCCACACCATTTGTTGAAGAGGCTGTCTTTTTTCCATTGGATATTCTTCCCTGCTTTGTTGAAGATTAGTTAACCACAGAGTTGAAGGGCCATTTCTGGGTTCTCTATTCTGTTTCATTGATCTATGTGTCTGTTTTTGTGTCAGTACCATACTGTCTTGATGATTACAACTTTGTAATAGAGCTTGAAGTCTGGAATTGTGATGCCACCAGCTTTGGTTTTCTTTTTCAACATTCCTCTGGCTACTTACGGTCTTTTCTGGTTCCATAAAATTTTAGGATTATTTGTTTCAACTCTGAAAAAAGTTGATGGTATTTTGATAGGGATTACATTGAATTATAGATTGCTCTAGGTAGCTTAGACATTTTAACAATATTTGCTCTTCCAATCCATGAGCATGGAACGTTTCACATTATTGTGGTCAGAAAAGATGCATAATATGGTTTCAGTCTTCTTAAATTTATTGAGACTTGTTTCAAAGCATGTGATCTATCCTTGAGAATGTTCCATGGGAACCTGAAAAAGAATGTGTATTCCATTGTTTTGGATGGACTGTTCTCTATATATCTGTCAAGTCCATCTGATCTAATATATCATTCAATACACTGTTTCCTTACTGATTTTCTGCCTGGATGATCTATCCACTGATGTTACTGGGGTGTTAAAGTCCCCTAATATTACTATATTACTATGAGTTTCTCCCTTTATGCCCGTTAATATTTACTTTATGTATTTAAATGTTCCAATTTTGGTTGCATAGATATTTACAGTTGTTATATACTTCTGTTTAATTGACCTGTTTGTCATTATGTAATGCCCTTCTTTGTCTCTTGTTATAGGCTTTGTTTTAAAGTCCATTTTGTCTGTTATAATTTTGCTATCCTGGCTTTTCGGGTTTTTTTTTCATTTCTATTTGCATGGTATATCTTTCTCCATCCTTTCGCTTTCAGTCCATATGAGTCTTTAGGTCTGAAGTGAGTCTCTTATAGCTGTATATAGATGGCTCTTGTTTTGGGTTTTTTTTTTAATCCATTCTGCCACACTTTGTCTTTTGATTGGAGCATTTAGAACATTTTCATTTAAAGTAATTATCGAAGGGTGCCTGGGTGGCTCAGTTGTTAAGTGTCTGCCTTCGGCTCAGGTCTCCTGGGATCGAGCCCTGCATCAGGCTCCCTGCTCTGCAGGAAGCCTGCTTCTCCCCCTCCCACTCTCCCTGCTTGTGTTCCCTCTCTCACTGTGTCTCTCTCTGTCAAATAAATAAAATCTTAAAAAAAAAGTAATTATTGATAGGTATGTATTTATTTTCATTTTGTTAATTGTTTTCTGGTTATTTTTGTAGTTATTCTATTTTCTCCTCAGATCCCCTTTCCTTGTGACTCATGACTTTCTGTAGTGTTATGCCTGAATACTTTCTATTTTTTGTGTATCTATCATAGGTTTTGGGTTTGTGGTTGCTTTGAGGTTCATATATAGGACTCTAAATATATAGCAGTTTATAGTAAGTTGATTTAAGTTTGAACACATTCTTTTTTTTTTTAGATTTTATTTGTTTATTTGACAGAGAGAGACAGAGTGAGAGGGAACACAAGCAGGGGGAGTGGGAAAGGGAGAAACAGGCCTCCCATGGAGCAGGGAGCCTGATGCAGGGCTCAATCCTAGGATCCCAGGATCATGACCTGAGCTGAAGGCAGATGCTTAACGACTGAGCCACCCAGGCACCCCAAGTTTGAACATATTCTAAAAGAACTTTTTTTTTTACTCTCTCCTCCATGTCTTATATATATGCTGTCATATATTTTATATCTTTTTATTATATTTTTGTTATTTCTAATTATGGCCTTTTCTTTTTCACTTAAAGAAGTCCCTTTAACATTTCTTGTAAGTCTAGTTTGGTGGTGAAGAACTCCTTTAACTGTTGTTTGTCTGGGAAACTCTTTATCTCTCCTTCAATTCTGAATGATAAAGTTGCTAGGTAGACTACTTTGGGTTGTAGGTTTTTTCCTTTTAGCTCTTTGCCACATCTTTCTGGCTCGCAAAGTTTCTGCTGAAAAATCAGCTGAGAGCCTCATGGGGATTTCCTTGTATGTAACTAGTTGCTTCTTTCTTCCTGCTTTTAAAATTCTCTCTTTATCATTAACCTTTGACATTTAATTATTATGTGTTGGTGATTTGGACCTCCTTGAGTTCATCTTGTTTGGAGCTCTCCATGCTTCCTGAACTTGGATGTCTGTTTCCTTCCCCAGGTTAGGGAATTTTTCAGCTGTTATTCCTTTTTTTTTTTTTAAGATTTTATTTATTTATTTGACAGAGAGTGTGTGAGCGAGCATAAGCAGGGGTTGCTGCAGAGGGAGAGGGAGAAGCAGGCTCCTCACTGAGCAGGGAGCCCAATGCAGGGCTCGATCCCAGGACCCTGGGATCATGACCTGAGCTGAAGGCAGATGCTCAACCAAATGAGCTACCCAGGCACCCCTCAGCTGTTATTTCTTCAAATAACTTTTCTTTTCCTTTCTCGCTTTTCCTTCTGGAACCCCTATAATGCAAATGTTTGTTTGCCTGATGTTGTCCAAGAGATTCCTTACCTATCCTCTTTTTTAAGAAATTCTTTTTTCTTTTTGCTGTTCAGCTAGGGTTCTTTCCATTACCTTGTCTTCAAGATTGCTGATACATTCTTCTGCATCCTCTAATCTACTGTTAATTCCCTCTAGTGTATTTTTCATTTTAGTTATTGTATTCTTCAATTCTGATTGGTTCTCTTTTATATTTTCTATCTCTTCGTTGAAGTTCTCACTGAGTCTACCCTTCTTTCCAATCTGGTGAGCATCTTTATGATCATTACTTTAAACTCTCTATCAGGCATATTGCTTATCTCCATTTCATTTAGTTCTTTTTCTGGGGTTTTGTCTTGTTTGCTCATTCAGAGGATATCTCTCTGTCTCCCCATTTTGCTGGACTGTCTGTTTCTATGAATTAAGCAGGACAACTACTTCTTCTAAACTTGAAGGAATGGTCTTGGGCGCCTGAGTGGCTCAGTTGGTTAAGCGACTGCCTTCGGCTCGGGTCATGATCCTGGAGTCTCGGGATCGAGACCCACGTCGGGCTCCCTGCTCAGCGGGGGTCTGCTTCTCCCTCTGACCCTCTTCCCTCTCGTGCTCTCTATCTCCCATTCTCTTTTTCTCAAATAAATAAGTAAAATCTTAAAAAAAAAAAAATAAATAAATAAATAAACTTGAAGGAATGGTCTTGTGTAATGTCATCTCCTGTATACTATGTGTGCCTGGTGACTTTAGCTGGCTGGCTGGAGCTCTGTCTCACATGGGCTGGGGTTCCCAGTGCCCTCTGTGCTGTGGCTACCATGCTGGGATGGCTGGAGCTCAAGTGAGTGTGGACCTGGGTGGTCCCAGGACTCTGTGCAGACAGTGCAACAGCAGGACAGCTGAAGTTGAATCAAGTGCAAACCAGTGGGTCCTGGGGCTCTTCATGCAGATTGCCCTGGCAGGACAGCTAAACCTTAAGTGGGCAGAGGCTGGGGTGATCCCTGGGTTCTCTGTGCAGAAGGCCCCCTGGCAGGATAGCTGAAACTGAAGTGGGTACAAACCAGACATCTTGGATATCTCTGTGCAGAGGGTGCTCTGGCAGGGCAGCTAGAGCCAAGGCAGGGCATGGGCCAGAGGATTCTGGGGTGCTGCACAGGGCTACCCTGGGAGGATAGCTGAAGCAGAAGTGGGTGAAAGCTGGGATGTCCTGGGGTTTTCAGTGCAGAGGGTGCCCTGTTGGGTTGATTAGAATGGAGGTTGGCATGGACCAGGTTGTCCCAGGATGCTCTGTACAGGAGGCTCCGTGGTGGGGTGGCTGGAGCTGAGGTGGGGTGTGGACTTGGGGTCCCAGAGTGCCCCATGCAGAAGATGTTCTGGCAAGGCAGCTGGACCTGAGGTGAGCATGGGTTGGGAGTTCCCAGGGTGTTCTTTGCAGGGGGTACTGTGGCAAGGCAGCTAAGCCAAAGCAGGCATTAGCTAGGAGGTCCCAGAGTGCTCTGCATTGGGGGTACCCTAGTAAGCTGTCTAGAGCTGAATTGGTGTGGCCCTGGAATTTTCCAGGTGCTTTGTGCTTGTATCACCTTGGTGATACAAACTCCAGCTATCCCTCCAGCTATCCCTCCAAGCCCCAGGGCACCTGGGGCTGGCATGGGCCAGTGACCCAGAGCTTGCAGAGGTATCAGTCAAGGCATCTCTGTCTCTCCTGCCTCTCCATGATCCAGCCATTAGGCTGGAACTCTAGTGATTGCTGAACCGGAGGTGTCCAGCGTGTGCCACACTAGGGCTGCCTTTGTGTGAAAGCTGGGGTTGGTGTGGGCGAGGGGCCTGGGGCTCACTGAGGTAGTAGGTTGGCTATGGTGCCTGGACCTTGTTCACTAGTGTGGTCCTCATCCACACTATCAGGTGGATGGGGAATGTAACTGTGGTGCTCACCAGCCCCTTCAAAATGGACAGTTCTAGCAGCTCCCCCTGCTGTTTTTCAGAGTTCTAGGACTGGCTCTTTTCTATTTTGTTCCTCTTTTATTTAAACTGTGGCTTTTCTGTGCCCCAGGATATCTGGGGCTGATGTGGGCCAGGGGCATGGGGTTTGCTGATGTGACACGCTGGCCATGGTGCCTGGACCCTGCCCTATCCACACCATTAAGGTAAAAGAAGAATGTAAACCCTGGTGCTCCCCAGCCCCTCTACCCAGAGAGAGCTCCACCGGTTCCCTCACTGCCCAGCAAGTTTCTAGATCTAGCTCCTTTACACCCTAGCTGCTCTTTGAAACCTTGGTTGTTCCTCCATGCCCCAGGGCATCTGAGGTGGGTGTGGGCCAGGCTCCCAGTGCTCACTGAGGCAGCAGGTCAACCACAGCATCTGGAACCCTGCTCCCATCTTCATCACCAAGGTGGAGAGGGAACACAAACTGTGCCACCTACCAGCCTCTCTGACCCAGAGAGAGTTCCAGTAGCTCCCTTACCCTGGGCAGGGTTCCAGGGCTAGTTCCTCCACATTCCAGTTGCTTTTCCAAACTCCAGCTATCCCTCCAAGCCCCAGGGCACCTGGGGCTGGCATGGGCCAGTGACCCAGAGCTTGCAGAGGTATCAGTCAAGGCATCTCTGTCTCTCCTGCCTCTCCATGTGGTCTCCGCATCCTCTGTTGTGCAAAAGCTGCTCAGTCAGCCCTCAACTCCCCCTCAGGCCGAATTGCTGTACAAATAGATGTAGGTGAGCCCAGGGTCTTCCCATGTCACCATCTTGGACTGGAATGCCCTCTGGTGTTTCTTATAATGCGTTTCCTCTGATAGTTTTTCCATTTTTTTCTTCTGAAACTATATTATTTTCATTTTCATTTTTTCAATGGCTTTTTTTTTTCTGAGTATAGGATTCTGGGTTGCCAGTGTTTTTTTCTTATAGCATTCTAAGATGTCATCCAATTCTCTTCTAATTTCTATAGTTTCTGTTGAAAAGTTAGTCAATCTTATTGTTGTACCTTTGAAGGGAATAATGTATGCTTTTTATTGGTAGCAGTTTGACTATGATGTGTCTTGGTGTGGCTTTCTTTGTATCTATCCTGCTGAGGATTTACAGAATTTATGGAATCTATCAATTACGTCTTTCATCAGGTTTGGAATCTTCGGAATTATTTTTTCAAATATTGTTTTTATCCCATTGTATCTCTACTCTCACTCTAGGGTTATAGTTATAGGTATGTTAGAACTTTTGAGTGTGTTCTGCATGTCTCTAATATAACCTTTTAAGGTAAAATTTTCTGTTTGGATAATACAAATAATTTCTTTTGAACTGATCCAAATTCACTAATTCTGTAAACTATAATTCTTAGATGAGGAAAAAAAAACATAGAAGATAGATTGAAACTTTAACCTAACTATGGGTACAGGATAGAAAATATTATCAAACCTAGGCATTAGTAATCAAAACAAAAACCAGGGGTGCCTGGGTGGCTCAGTTGTTAAGCATCTGCCTTTGGCTCAGGTCATGATCCCAGGGTACTGGGATCAAGCCCTGCATCCGACTCCCTGCTCTGAAGGAAGCCTGCTCTCCCCCTCCCACTCCCCCTGCTTGTGTTCCGTCTCTCACTGTGTTTCTCTCTGTCAAATAAATAAATAAATAAAATCTTTAAAAAAACAAAAACAAAACAACAAAAAACTCCAAAAAGCAAATAATTAGCTATTTGGATATTTGATAATAAAACAAGGTTTTACATAAGCTATTCTCTATTGCTGCTTCATTATTCTAATTCCCTTTCCTCTTATCAAATCCCAGTGGAAGAGCCCATCAGGTGTTATTAAAATAGGAGTACTTGTATCCCTGTGGAACCTCCTAATCATTACAGTGTTATCAATAGTGGCAGTCAAATATTCATGCTCAAATTTCCCCTTGAAAAGGATGGTTTAAAAATTGACCTTCCCCAGGGGAACTACCAGAGGACTTAGCACTGGATTGTTTTTCTCTCCGTTTCTCTGTCATTTCTAGTCTTTCCCTAGAGATAGATGGGTAACTGCACAGCTCTTTTCATAGAAAGTACATTTCTACTTGGTACACATATTTAATACATTTTAAGTGGGGATTATTTCTTTTAATTATTTTTAATTCAAGTTTGAAAACTGAGTTGGTTTCATGATGTTGTTACCTACTGATATCTTATACAGAGTACATCTGTTTGAAAGAGAAAAGGCAGAACGAAAAGCAGGCCTTTTGGAGAAAAAGTTAGCAGGTACTGATGGATTCACCCCTTATATGAATATGAAAGGACAAGAAGATCCCTTGGATAGTTTCATGAAGAAGGTGAGAATAAATTTTGAGTGACTTTTAAAGAAACAGGAATTTTATTACCTTGCGTTACTCCAAGAGATGATTGGCAAATGTTGAGTAGTTGGTCTCCTTCTTATGGGGGATCAGAGGAAGCAGTGCAGTGTGGTTGACTGAAAGCCTTTCTGAAGGACAGAGAGAAGGCACAAGGCAGATCTAAGGTCTCTGATTCTGCAGGGAACCAAGCTGAGAGAGAACTGGGGAGGTGGTGGTTAGAGAATGAAGTATTGGAATTTTACATTTCTGGTATGGGTTACTTCCTGCTGCTGACAACATCTGGGTTTTGGGCTCTGAATGTAAGGGTTGAAGAGAGGTGTAAGTGAGAGTCATTGAAACCAAGGCACAGGAATCACAAAGCTAAATTGGTGGATCATCTATATTGGACCTTGAAATCTAGATTTATGGCATCAGTTGGGTTTAGAAGGAAGAGAGGAGCCTGGTCCCTAGTAGATAGCAATTCACAGGATGAGTAGAGGTTTTACAGAAGAATGTTGGAGGAGGATGGGAGCCACTCTGTTGTCAAGGAAGTGGTGAAAGTTTATTTTGAAATCCTTAGACTGTAACAGTTTATTATGTAATCTGAATGTAAGACAAGGTCCATTATAATCCAATTAATGTGAAGGTTTCCATTTATTTTTTTAATTTTTATTTTTTTAAAAGATCTTATTTATTTATTTGACAGAGAGAGAGAGAGAGAGAGAGACAGCTAGTGAGGGAACACGAGCAGGGGGAATGGGAGAGGGAGAAGCAGGCTCCCGGAGCAGGGAGCCTGATGCGGGGATCATGACCTGAGCTGAAGGTAGATGCTTAACGACTGAACCACCCAGGTGCCCCAGAGGGTTTCCATTTAAACAAATTCAGCAACTACCTTCAAAGTAATTTAAAGTAATTCCAATTTTTAATTGCCCCTCTTAAGTAATTCACAATAACACTTACCATTTTTTTCCACTTCTGTCACTAATCTGTCACATTCTTGAAAAACTCTCCCAAACCAGCGTGCATGCAACTCTGACCTTTTCTCCCATTGCCCTTTTATTCTGTCTCTTCTAGCCTTTTAGTGATGTAAACCCATCATTACTTCAACAATTCTAGCCCTCTTTCTATTTCTCAGTTTCACATGACAAAAAGCCCAGAAATGGAACCTATTTACTCAGCTTCTAGAGTTGAAGGTGTCAAGAAGGTGGAAAGAAGGCTAGAATTTATAAAGGTAAAATGTTCCTGTGGGAGATTGGGAAAGAAGTACAAGCATCATCCTCCCGGCCCGCCCTCAGGCTATTTACAATGGAAGCAGGATGATTACAGGAGCACAAGGGAAAGGTTGGGGGAAAGAATGGGACTTCTTTCATTTATACTTTTACATCATCAAAACTGTTACTACTAAGTCACGTTCTATAACCCTAATGAAGTCTTTATGGAAATATCCATTTCCCCCCCAACTTTTCACTTCATTGTCTTAACATTCATTGGTGATCCTTGCGTGAAACAGTTATTTTATTAGATGCAAAATGCTGATTTTAAAATTTCTGTCATTCTTTCTACACTTATTAGCTCAAAATTTTCTGTAAAGAGTGTAACTTCATAAACTGAGGCTGTTTGGTTAGGTGCTTCTCCAAGCTAAATTTCCTATGTTCCCAAACCAGTTTCTCCATATGATCACTTTAATACCTCTTGATGTTCTAGTTTGCTCTGTTGAGTATGCCCTTGTCTCTCTTATGACTCCATAACTCTTTATTTCTTTTGAGGACCTTGCTCCTAAAGTTTTGTATTATGACTATATTTATATTTCAAAAAAGGAAGTAAATGTCTCCATATTAAACTCCGAATGGGAAGTTTAACATGTGTGTTGGCATATTTAGGATAAAGGTGAAGCTATCCTGACCAAGAACTTTGAAAGAGACATTTTTCACTCTGAAGGACCAAAAGATGGGCGGAATATTTGGAATAAGTGTCAAGAAGATTCAATCCATAAGGAAAAACAAAAATATGAATTGGACAGACCTCCACATTCATTCGGCTGGGAAACCAAAACTGCACGATCCCACTATCAGAAATTCCTCAGTCAGTTGGCTACTCTTCTGAGCAACAGTGTTGTCCCCATACCAGCCACCGAGCAAGCTGTGAAAGAGAGGATTCAGGAAATTGGTGCAAAAGAGAGATCTTGGAAGTTTGTAGGTGTATTGACGACAAGTCATTCTTTCAAACTTGTTTCTTTTAACGTCAATTTTGATATTAGCCGATTTAGGAAATTCTGTGGCTCTGCATTTTAACTTTGATTTTATTTTTACTACTACAATGTAAAAGGGAAGAGGGTGTCCATTATTACAGCAGAGGTAGTGTAGTGTGTTTGTTAAGAGCAGAGAGCCCAGGTATGAATCCCAGCTCAGCCATTACCAGCTGTGTGCTCTTCGGTAGATTACTTATCCTCTCTGGGCCTCAGTTTCATTGGTAAAATTTGGTGGGATGAGGTGAGGGTGGGGGCTGGAAGGGCATAGCTCCTATCAGAGTGGTAAGGATTAAATGGATTAACACATGATAAATGCTTAGTACAGTTCAGTGTAAGCTCAGTGAATCCTGGCTTAGAAATAGTGGTATGGTGAAGATAATGTGTCCATCATGCCTAAATCCTGGTCAGGTCAGCCTGTGCAGTAAATACACTGTCAGATCAGTTCTTTGTTTGAATTTATTGGCCGACTCTATGAAAAGATTGAACCAGCAGGTTTCTGTGGCTATATCTCCTTGTCATATCCAAATCAGCTGAGTAAAATTTCATGCCTCCTCACCTTAAAATTCAAATGAAGATAGGTATTGCTTAGGTTCAAGTGTTCGTAAAATCTGCTGCAGTCTGTTTATTGTAGAGTTCCAATTTTTTCTTTCATTTTTTGCTTAAAGTTCATTATACAACTTTATTTCTCAGTACTAACTAAAATGTCTCATTTTGTGTATCAAACCTTTCCATTTTTTCCTCTAAAACCGGCTGATACGTGTCAAATCTTAAGTCTTTCCAGCTCACCTAGGTAGTAATATAGCGTTACTACCGTGTCGGTATCAGTAGAACTTGCACATAGCTTTGAAATGAAGTGGAGATCATGGGCCCTCAGGAGGTTGAGCTATCCTTCCTCCCCACAGAGGACTGAAGACCTACAGCAGGAAATTCTGACGCTCACTCAGCGCCTACAGCAGCTGCCGCGTCACTCTGAAGAAGCCGCTAGAGAACCGTCCCAGATGCAAGACAGGTGTAGGGAACAAAAAAGAGCCTTGAAACGTCTGGAAGGAAAAACTGCTGTAAATGACTTCTTTCAAGAGAGTTTAGACTTGGACAGGAATAAAGTAAGAATTTCCTGCATAAGGCATTTCTTTGACAATGAAAATGATCATATTTTATTATATTATCTAATGTTTAAAGCTGTTAATACTATTTATACTTTATATTGGAAAAGGAAAATTTGCTACAAACCTTTAAACCTGCTTTTATCAAAAAGCCTCTCCTCGTTCCATATCTCTCATTTCTCTAATACACACATATTCCGTATTCATTGGAGGGCATAGTGTATTTCTTAATGTACTTTAAAAAGCGGATTAGAAGGAAAGGAGCTCAAAGGAATAACTGTACAGGTAGCACATCAGGCACTGTGTCAATAGATCTGAGGAGTATCAGGAAGGGGCCAGTGATGCTCTTCCTCGGTAATTACTGTTAGACCAGTACCTTCTCTACTCTTCACTTCTCTGCATCTGTAAGGAAGACATGAAAGTGTCAATTCTAAGAATGGGGTGGAAACAGGAAGGGTACAATATAATTTGTTTTCAGGAGATTTTTAAAAAATTCTATTTCATTATCTCTTAATAGCATTGCTTGTCACATCATACCAATGTTATACTATTTCTGTAATTGCTGTGGCTCAGAGCGTTATCTCACTCATTCACTCACCGCTCGCTCATTTAGTCTTTCATTACACTCATTCATCATTTACGCATGGAGCACTGAGTTTAGAAAACCTCCAGTGCTTAGTGAAGTGATATTAACTACGTTCTCCACAGAGTCTAAGTATAAATCCAGCTCCTACCTCTGTTCCTGAATATGTAATCAATGATTATTCATTTCCCTGTAAACATTTTAAAACACTATATTAAATTTTAAGAATATTCAAGTAACACATGCTTTCTACAACTCTTGAAATCAGGTTAAAAGGTTTGAAGAAAGAATAATTTTCCCCAACTTTCTTTCTGCTCATCTCACTTCAGTAACCAGTAGTGTATATATCTTCTACAACTATTGCCATGCTTATGGAAATATACAAGTACATGTATACAGGTGGTGGTATTTTTATAAAACTGGGACTATGCTAGTCAAATACTCTTCTTAACATAGTAAAAAGTTAAGTACCTCATGGTTTTTTCTTAGGTTAAAAGATACAGATTTAACTCATTCCTTTAATAGCTGCATGGTGGTCCACAGAGTATATATAACTTATTTATTTGATCAGTTCCCAATCGATGGACTATCAAAATATTTCCACCTTTTATACCACTCCAAATAATGGAGCAATAAATAGACTTATATATTTATCTTTCTACATTGGTGCTTTCTCCCCCTGTGGGATTGAGTTCTAAATGTGAAATTGTAGGATCACAGTTTATGAGTATTTTAAATTTTAATAGCTACTGCCAAAATATTAGTTCCAAAAGGCAGAAGGAATTCACTTTCCAAATAGAAATATAGGAGTACCTCTTTCTTCTTCATAGCCTAGCCAGCATTGGAGATGTCATTCTTTTAGAGACAGAGAGAGAGAGTTGGGTTAAAATAGTACAGTTTTAACGTTTACTTGATTACTAACTAGTAAGTTTGAGCAACCCCCCTTTTTTTAAATGTTGGTTTCTTGGATTCCTTTGCCTCTCTACTCCTCACAATTTGGACCTCAAATACAGAAGATTGAGTTAATCAAACTCTATGGTTCATAACACATTATCTTGGGCCATGGAAGGGCTTTCTCTTATTTATTATTATTTATTCCATTTAAGTCCATTTTCCCATTCCCTCTTCCAAAGGAAATCAATCCGGGGTGCCTAGATGGCTCAGTCGGTTAAGCATCCAACTTTTGATTTCAGCTCAAGTCTTGATCTCAGGGTCGAGAGTTCAAGCCCCTCACAGTGTGGAGCCTACTTAAAACAAAAACAAAGGAGATCAATCTAATGAGTTTAATGTATATCTTTTTGTTTATACAGTTGACCCTTGAACAATGTGGGGTTTAGGGTCACTGACACCCTCCCCATGCAGTCAAAAATCCCCATGTATAATTTTTGACTCCCCCAAAACTTAACTACTAATAGCCTACTGTTGACCAGAAGCCTTACTGATAACACAGTCAATTAACACATAGTTTGTATTCCACATTTGTATATGCTGTATTCTTACAATAAAGTAAGCTAGAGAAAAGAAAATGTTAAGAAAAATCATAAAATACATCTACAGTACTGTACCATATGTCTCAAAAAAATCTGCGTATAAGTGGACTCGCACAATTCAAACCCATGTTGTTCAAGGGTCAATTGTATATGTTCTTTTAAATATAATTTTATGCACATATTTTAATTTTCATAAATGGTACTATGGCAAAACCTCATTCTATTACTTAGCATTGTATTTTTTTTTAAAAGATTTTATTTATTTGACAGAGAGAGACACAGTGAGAGAGGGAACACAAGCAGGGGGAGTGGGAGAGGGAGAAGCAGGCTTCCCGCCGAGCAGGGAGCCTGATGTGGGGCTCGATCCCAGGACCCTGGGATCATGACCTGAGCCGAAGGCAGACACTTAATGACTGAGCCACCCAGGCGCCCCTTAGCATTATATTTTTAAGATCCACTTAGTGTTGCTATGTGTTCATCTAGTTCATTGCTTCTGTCTATTGCATGGAGTTCTCCAGAGTGCTTATCTGCCATGCTCTGCCTGTCCACTCCTCAGTGATGAATAATACCCTGGTTACCTCTGTCCTGCCACCACAAACGCTGCTACCAGCATCCTTGTAAAAGTCCCCCTATAGACCTGTGGGAAAATTTCTTAGGGGTGTTTGCTCAAGATTGGAATTGGTGGCTCATTGCGTATATGTACACTTAATTTGATTAAGTACTGCCAGTCAGTCAGCTCTCACAGAACAATAGTCCCACCAGAGATACATGAGGGATCTTGAATCTCCACGTTTTTGTAATTTCTTGGCATTAACCAGCTTCCTAATTTTTCCCATTCCATTGGGTATGAAGTGATTGCTAATTTAATTTGCATTTCTCTAAGTATTAATGAGTTGGGGCATTTCCTTTATGATTTTGTCTTTAGGCTTTTTAGTCCTTGCCTGTTTATTTCCTTTACTCATTTTCCTATTTGGGTTCCAGTCTATACTTGTTAATTTCCAAAACTGTGTGCATGTCTTCCTCACCCTGTCCAGGCCCTTCCACTCCATGGCAGGTCACCTCTCCATGTGGGCTCTCCTCTCCCCCCAGTCAGACTCTGAGTCCCTCTGCAGGGCAGCCCTCCTCTGTGCCCACTTTTGTCATCCTGCTTGGGTCACAGCATTTCTCTCATCATTCTGGAGCCTACCTTGTTCTGCCCACTTAATGGCTTTAGGACTGAGTTGTCCAGAGAGAAAAAGAAAGGAAAGGAAGAATAAGAAGAGAAAGAATAAGAGCAACCTGTTTATGTTTAACCTTTCACATATCCTGATAAATGTACTTATTTAAATCATAATTTAAATCATAAATTTTTCTGTCAAGAGGTACTTTAGCTTTGTTTCACAAATATTGACAAAATATTGGTCAAGTTTAGTGGTTGACCTTGAACAACATTTGACCAATATTTTCCTTATTTTTCATTTTAAATATAGTAATATGTTTTTAAGTTTCCAGATGTATGGGATTTTAAAAATTTTGTATTTTATTACAACACGCTGGCAGTATATGATCCTTGAGAATTTACTGAGACTTCTTACATGGCTTAATACTTCGTTGATTTTGGTAACTGTTCCATGTGTGCTTATAAGAATGTGTTCTCTGTTGGGTATAAAGTTCCATATATAGCTAATGCTCAAGCATATTATTTGTATGGTTCAAATTGTGAGTATCTCTGATGATTTTTGTATCCTTGATTCTGGAAAAGGTATCCTAATTCTCAAAGAATAATTTTTTGTTCATCCATGTATCTTTGCAGTTCTATCATCTTATGCTTTATAGGAGCAGGTGCACTTATGATGATATTTGCTCTCTTGTTCTTTTAAGCACTATATACATTCTCCTTTTTGTGCTTTATAAAATATTGCCTTAAATTCTCCATTTTCAGAAATTATGGTATTGTATAATTACAATGTTCTTTTTGTTCTTTTTGTTCATGTGTACCTGATATATCTTTTTATCCTTTTATTTTTTGCCTTTCTCCATCTTTGTGATTAAAGACAGTATATGGTTATATTTTTTAAAAATCAGATTGGAGGGTATCCAATTGGTGAATTTAACATATTTATCTTTATTGCAATTATTATATTAGCATGTGATTGTCCCAACTTATTTCATAATTTCCATATATTTTACTTTCCTTTTGTTGGGGGGTCTATTTTCCTGGTTTCTATTAAGAGATAATTTTTTTTTCCTGGTTTTAAAGTTATATGTTCTATTTTTATTCTTATGTTGGTGTTCTTTAAGAACCATACCCTCTTTTACTTAATATTTATAGGAATATCATGTCCCTTTTGTTGTTGACCTCAGTCCCCAATTGTGTTGGTGTTCTCTAAATTTTTAATTTTTGGGGGTGCCTGGGTGGCTCAGTTGGTTAAACGACTGCCTTCAGCTCAGGTTATGATCCTGGAGTCCAGGGATCGAGTCCCGCATCGGGCTCCTTGTTCAGTGGGGAGCCTGCTTCTCCCTCTACCCTCCCCCCTCTCATGCTCTCTCTCTCTCTCTCCTTCTCTCTCTCAAATAAATAAAATTTTTAAAAATAAATAAATACATAAATTTTTAATTTTTGCATTTTTTGAATATACTGTTTTCTTTTACTTGGTTCTAATTATTTTTAGATAATCACTAAACTTGACCAACATATTTGATACTTCGTAGAGTCCCATGGTATTACATAAGGTTTATAGTATTATATTAGACATGATGAAAAAATGTGCAAGAACTGCAAGAAATCAGTTTTCACCACAATATGGAATTTCTTGGAGAGACCAACTGCTCACACATGATCAGTATCACAGATACTCCCAACACTTGAACTTACTGCGATAGCAACAGGAGATAGCTACAAAATTAGTATGGTAGTACACTATGTAGTGCAGTTAATGTTATGCAGTTATTGATTTAACATTGCATTTACATGTTTGTTTATACTTCTCTTGAATGGGAATGGTATCACATATGATCTGTGGTATTTGTGTAATTTTGGATAAATTTTAACTTTTTATAATAGCTTTGTGATATTTTATGATAGCAAATGATAAAATAGACCAGTTTCTATATATATTTTATGTATTTATGACATATCTAACTTTTAAAAAATTTTTCTGATATCTCTAGGCTATGTGGTTCATCTATGGGTTTTTTCAAATTCTTGCAAATCTTTACAAGTTTTCCCAATATATTTATTGAAAAAAAAATCTGTGTAGAAGTGGACCCACACAATTCTAACCTGTCTTGTTCAAGGGTCAACTACACACACACACACACACACACACACACACACACACACACACACCTTTGACTGGTATTGTCTCTCGGGAGAACCCTAATACACCTGGCTTTTTTAAATTTTCATTTTATTTTAATTTTTAAATTTTTTTAAAGATTTTTTTTAAGTAATCTCTACACCCAACGTGGGGCTCAAACCTACAACCCCAAGTTCAAGAGTCACATGCTCTGCTGACTGAGCCAGCCAGGTGCCCCTGCTTTTTTTTTTTTTTTTTAATAGTTTATATCCTAATATCCTTTTATCCTGCCTGTCTGAAGAGTTTTCTTTTTTTTTAAGATTTTATTTATTTATTTGATAGCGACACAGCTAGAGAGGGAACACAAGCAGGGGGAGTGAGACAGGGAGAAGCAGGCTTCCCTGTGGAGCAGGGAGCCCAATGCGGGGCTCGATCCCAGGACCCTGGGACTATGACCTGAGCGGAAGGCAGACGCTTAACGACTGAGCCACCCAGGTGACCCTTGAAGAGTTTTCAATCTGATCTTTCAACTCACTCAATTTGATCCTCAAATCGAGATTTTATCCATCTTTTCATCTCATCTATTACGTTGTTCATTTCAACTCTTCATTTGTCATATCTAATATTTCTACTTGGTTGTTTTATTTTATAATTTCTTGATCAGTTAATGTTGTCTCTCCTGAGTACCTACCACTGTGAGTAAAGGTAAAGTTAAAATTTTTACACAAAACTGAAAGTGATCAGAGAAAATAAGGCCTTGTCCTAAATTTCATTTAGTGGCAGATGAAGAATTAGTCTAACAGAATACATTTTTAAAAAATATTTTACTTATCTATTTGAAAGAGAGCAAGTGAAAGAGCAGGGCCAGGGCAGGGAGGGGGGAGAGCAGAGGGAGAAGCAGACTCCCTGCTGAGGAGCCCAATATGGGACTCCATCCCAGGACCCTGGGATCATGGCCTGAGCCGAAAGCAGACACTTAAGTGACTGAGCCACCCAGGGGCCCCCCAACAGAATACATTTAAAGGAACAACAGAGGACAGAAATAAAGTAGGTTAATGATAACACTACGTGAGTATAATTATTCAGTGTAAACTGTATACCTGTCAAAGTGGCAATTTGTACATACAGTTTACAATTTACTCAGTTAGCTTTGTAATATAATTCTCGACAAATTAAAAATATTCTTTTTGAATATCAATATTTCACAATATGTATTTAAAATAAGACTATTAACATACTTTTTTCCTGCTATTTCAGATATCTGTTGTTTAATATTTATAATATTAGTGATTGGTAATTTTTGATAATTTGGTACATGTCATCTTTCCCTTTAGCAGATTTTATTTTATATACTATAATAGGATTTTATACTTTTCTTCATATAAGTCTTATAAGTCCTTCATGTAAGTCTTGTAAAATTTATTCCTAGGTCTTTTATAGATTTTCTGTCCATTGTTAATAGCATATTTTCCCCATTTCTATTTGAAATGGCTATTAATAATATAAATAAATGCATTTGGTATGTTTTGTTGGTTTTTTTAAAGATTTATTTATCTTGCACACACGCACACATTGGGGGGGAGGGACAGAGGGGGAGGGAGAAAGAAAATCTCAAGCAGACTCCCCGATGACTGCAGAGCCCAATGCAGGGCCCTGAAATAATGACCTGAGCTAAAATCAAGAGTCTGAGGCTTAACTGACTGAGCCACCCAGGCGCCCCACATTTGATATGTTTATATTTTTATTAATTACCTACCATCCTACTGAATTCACTTATTAAATTCAATAGTTTTCTTTACTAGGTTTTTTTTAGTTTTCCAGACATGATTCCATATTATCGCTTTCTAGAAAATAATGTATTTCTATTCTATTTTCAACTTATTGCCACTGAGTTATAAAATATCCTTTTAGAATTATTTTCATACTTTCTGTCTATGCATTCTGTATATTTCTCCTTCCTAGTGTTATGTATTTTTACTTTCTCTCTTTCCTTTTTTTTTTAAAGATATTTATTTATTTGAGAGAGAGAATGCACATGGGTGGGAGGGTAGCATCAGAGGGAGAGAGAGCAGACTCCCCGCTGAGCAGGGAGCCTTATGCTGGGGTCAGTCCCCAGACCCTGAGATCATGACCTGAGCCAAAGGCAGATGCTTAACCAACTGAGCCACCCAGGCGCCCCTCTTTAACCAGGCTTGTTCGGGGCATCTATTTTATTTTCTAAAGAACCAGTGGTTCTTTTTTAATATAAATTTTACTAGCTTTTGATTTATATATGATGAAAATATATGGTATTTTTATTAGATTTGCATACCCTTTTTTTTTGCTGGTAATAACTTCATAAAGTACACCTTACTAGAAAGAATATAATTAAAATCACCAATAATCCTACCACTGTAAGGGCGCCTGGGTGGCTCAGTTGGTTAAGCAACTGCCTTCGGCTCAGGTCATGATCCTGGAGTCCCAGGATCGAGTCCCGCATCGGGCTCCCTGCTCAGCAGGGAGTCTGCTTCTCCCTCTGACCCTCTTCCCTCTCGTGCTATCTCCCATTCTCTCTTTCTCAAATAAATAAATAAAATCTTTAAAAAAAAAAAAAGAAAATCCTTTAAAAAAAAAAAATCCTACCACTGTAAGATAACCAGTGTTAACATATAGGCATAGTTTTTCTTAATCCTGCTTCCTTCATTTTAGCTATATCACTAGTATTTTCTCTTAGCCAGTATTTTTGAAACTTGACTTTTAGGGAATGTTTAATCAATAATATGTATTTTATTTAATTATTCTTTTTTTTAAAAGATTTTTATTTATTTACTTGTCAGAGAGAGAGAGAGCACAAGCAGGGGGAGCAGCAAAGGGAGAGGGAGAAGCAGGCTCCTCACTGAGCAAGGAGCCTGATGAGGGACTCGATCCCAGGACCTTGGGATCATGACCCAAGCTGAAGGCAGACACTTAATGACAGAACCACCCAGGCATCCCTAATTATTCTTTTTTTGACATTTGCATTGTTTCTATTTTTTCATGTTATAAACAATGTAAAGAATATCTTTGTGTATGAATGTTTAAATATTTCTTTCCTTATAATACATTGCTAGAAAAGTTGATATAATCTATGTTGCCATCTGTTATTTATAAAATTGTTAGCACTGAGCCATCAATTTTATTGTCGTATTTTATTTTCCAGATTATTTTAATAATGCATATCTTTTTTAAAAAAAGATTTTATTTACTTATTTGAGAGAGACAGAGTGAATGAGAGAGAGCACAAGCAGGGGGAGTGGCAAAGGGAGAGGGAAAAGCAGGCTTCCCGCAGAGCAGGGAGCCTGATGCGGGGCTCGATCCTGGGACCCTGAGATCATGATCTGAGCTGAAGGCAGATGTTTAACCGACTGAAACACCCAGGCACCCTTAATAATGCATATCTATGGTGAAAAAATATTTTACGTATACAAGTATTACTGTCTGCAGTTTATTAGCCTAGAGTAGATCTGGTATGCTAGTGTGGAACACCACCTTAAAGTACAACTTCTTTATTTCAATACTGCTGATTTCTGCAAAGGAAAACTCTGGGACTAAGAATTCGTGGACAGACGAGCATGGCAAGATGTCCAGACAGCTAGAGAAAGACAACGAGGAACAAACGTTATTGAATATTCAGCAAAATTTACAGATTGCTACAACTCAGAGACTAGAGGAGAAAATTCAGAAACTGCAGAAACAGCTCAGTGATTTGAAATTGTCAAATAAAAGTATGAAAATTCAACTTACAAGAGTAAATGTCCTTAAGGTAAGTAAAGGAAGTGAGGCTTTCAAAAATTCTCTTCAGCTTTGGTCTGTTATTATTTTAGCTGCATGTTTCTTATTGAATTTTTTAAAAAATTAACATTAAAATTGTTTTATATGCACACATGAGTATATATAATATTAAAGCATATCGGATAATAAAATTAGATGCATGGACATCTACCACTTATCTAAAAAACCAGAGTAATATCAACCACACCACAGCCTATTCTCTTTCCTACTTCTCAAAGGTAACTGGTATTTTAAATGCTAGGATTCTAGAGTCCTTGTTCTTTTCATCTTACTTTGGTCTTTCTTATTGGGGTAATAGTTAAAAGTTTTATTCATTTTTGGAGGCTCCTCTTTGGATCTTCTCCATATCAAGCTTCACTTATAGTATTTCAAACATATGTTTTATGCCTTAAACCAAAGGTGCACTAAATACTAATGGATCAATTTTTTTGCCATTTTATCAGAAATAGTTATCTTGCTTCAAAGCCAGTTATTTTCTCTATTTCTGAATTTGGTTAACAGAGGCTGTTAACACTTTTGAGACATGAATATTCATTAAACCTCTTTAAATCCTAAGTGCCTAGTTTATAAAAGTGCTCAGTGACTGTTATGATGAGTATGATGGTTGAGAAATGTCCTCTTAATTCATAAATTGTGGAATTTTCTTTCTTTTCCATATATCAGATCTTCCAAAAAAAAAAAAAGAAGAAGAAGAAGGAAAAGAAGCATGGGTTATATCATGCATCTTGTCTTTTATTTAGAAGAGATCTAATTAGTCATCTCCCTTTCCCCCAACCTTATACCCTCACAGAACAAAACAATTGAAAAGCTTAGGCAATCTTTAACACGAGTTGAAGCAATGAAAGGGAAGGCAGTTATGAGAACAGACAACTTGAAAACTACATTGGATTCTGCCAAGGAAGAGGCAAGAGGGGACAAAGAGAAGGTCCATCAGCTGTTAGACACTGGCACTCCTGCTGAGTTCTGCACAGCAAAGGGCACACTCGATAAAGTTCCAGGACAAAAACATGAGGTTTGTTTTGTTCATTATTATATCAACAGTCTTTGAGTTAAAGTGATCAACACCCATCTCAACTTAGACTCTTATCTAAGCCAGACAAAAAGGAGTTTGTTGGCTTATGGAATCAAAGGTGAGTTAAACAACCAGACCTCTGAGGGGGCAAGAGCTGCACTTGGGCCACAGGATCAGCGCCTGGAGACTTCTAAAGCTTTTCTAACCATCTGTGTGTGTGAGCTTGCTTTATGTTTAGAGAGTCTGTAACAGGAGAGAGAGTCCCAGGAAACGGTCTAAGAAAGCTCAGCTTAGGTCAAATGCCTACACCTGGTGAATCCACAGTAGCAAGGGGCGGCATATATGATTATCTTCACTTAGGTTTGCATACACATCCTCTGATTAACCAATGACAAGAGGAAAAAGATGTCCAAAAATGGAAGTTCAGGGGAAGCCATGTGTCTGGGGCTGAGTCAGTTTCTAGGAAAAGAGGGTAGTGCTTCTAAATTTGCCTAGATTTTCACGACATTTATAAAGCAGGTGTTGCAAGAGAATTTTTTTAAAAAGATTTATTTATTTATTTTAGAAAGAAAGAGAGAGACGAGGGGAAGGACAGAGGCAGAGGGAGAGGGAGAGAGAACCTCAAGCAGACTCTGCACTGAGCTTGGAGCCCGATTCGGGGCTCGACCTCACAATCCTGAGATCACGACCTGAGCTGAAACCAAGAGTCAGACGCTTTAAAGGACTGTGCCATCCAGGTGCCCCTTAAGAGAATTTTTAAAAGGCTAACTGATAATTTGGGGCTACTGTGGAATTATATGCCACATCTCTATTACTGGTAGCTTAAGATATATGTAACTTTAATCAATTACCTTAAAAGATTCTTGAAACATAAAATCATGATATTATTTTTGTTTTCTCTTTTTAAACTTCTGCATATTTATATTCTTGTTTTTATTCTTCCCAATATCCTTACTATATTTCCAGTCAGATCTCTCCTCCTTTGGGTACTCTGTAGTTGACTCTTTGCTTCTGAGATGACTTTGTCTTATTCTTGCCTGAGTTCAACCACCACATCTTCCTTATCTATAAGGCATATTGGATGTCATTTTTTGGTCCATTTGTATTCTGAATTACTACATTTCTGATTCAAAATAGAGGTGTTCCTGCACCCCCCATGTCTGCAAATCCTTGTTTGAAAACAATTTTAAAATATTTTATTTATTTATTTAGTTGTGAGTGAGAGAGAGAATGCACACATGCGAGTGGGGTAGGAGCAGAGGGAGAGGGACAAGCAGACTCCATGCTGAGCACAGAGTCCATGGAGGGGCTCAATTCCACGACCCATGACCTGAGCCAGAAATCAAGAGTCAGACATTTAACCAACTGAGCCACCCAGGCGCCCCTAAAATGTAATCCATATCAGGTATTGTGTCAAACATGTTTCTTTTGCTCTGTGGCAGTTTCTTTTGGGGGGGGGGAGTATTTTCATCTCCTGACTTGTTTGGATGATGCTCTTTTCTTCTTAAAGAAATTTGGAGGGATATTACTTGCCATTTATCTATTCACTTTAAAATCCTTTTAATTGGGGTGCCTAGGTGGCTCGGTTGGTTGGATGTCTGCCTTCAGCTCCAGTCATGATCCCAAAGTCCTGGGATCAAGTCCTGGGAATGAGCCCTGGGTGGGCTCCCTGTTCAGCGGGGCGTCTGCTTCTCCCTCTCCTTCCTCCTGCTCCTTCCTCTCTCTCTCTCTCAATTAAATGAATAAAATCTATAAAAATAAAAATCCTTTTAATTGCCCTGCCTTTTCAATTTCAGGTGTTTCTACTTTAGGGTAGTTACAGGGCGGGGTTTACTTACTTGGTTTCTTAACTCAATACTACCCTCTTGTGTTGGCAGTGAGTGCAGTTTCTAAAGTCTTACATCAAGTCTTTTCTGTTGCGGTGGGAGGTTATATGATACCGGGTTCTGCAGTGCTCTTGTTTATAGAAGTACCTTATTTTCCACTGTTTACTTTTTTTCTTTTCCTTTATCTCCAAACCTCCAAGGAACATCTCACCCTTCCAAGTATCTCCCTCTCTCCTCAGAAACCTTGTCCTTCAGAACTGCTATTTTTGGGAGCGCCTGGGTGGCTCAGTTGGTTAAGCATCGGACACTTGGTTTCAGCTCAGGTCATGATCTCGGTGGTCATGGGATGGAGCCCCGCGTTGGGCTCTGTGCTGGGCTTGGAGTCTGCTTCAGATTCTCTCTCCCTCTCCCTCCCTCTCTGCTCCTCCCCCAGCTCGCTTATGGGCACGAGCTCTCGCTCTAAAAATAAATAAAATCTTAAAAAAAAAAAAAGGCTGCCATTTTTGGTCTCATGTGCTTCTAAGCCCTTTTCTCTTCCTTTCCACTTGCCAGTTTTCTGACCCACCAGGTTGTAGACTTCTCAGTATTTCCCCATTTATGTATTGTCCTATTTCTGGGACACCACTGGAAACCAGCTGCATCCTCCAGTGTGGGCTCAGGAGCTGCCTCTGCTGGTTTAGGATATTTATTTCCCCACTTATATGCAACCTGAATTCTGTGATATTCTCTAGTTATGCTTTAGATATAATTTGTGAGTGGTTATAACTGCTTTCCTTAGAAGGTCACTATGGTTTTGGGAGGAGGAGTGGAGAGATGTTTAGGGGACTACTATTACCATACAGCAAATCCAAAGTCCAAAAAGGAATTTCCTTAGGGATGAAAAACAAGCAGCTGTAAAATTAGGTTTAGTCTATAAAGTGTAAAAATAAAATCTTAAAATGAAAAGTATATTTTTAAATAAAGAGTTCTTATAAGAGAAGAGACCGTATTTCTACCTTAAAAATATAATTTGAATGTAGAATGTTACAGTTCATAAAGAAATGTTTAATAAGACTACATTTCTGATACCATTTTCATTGTACACAATAAGTAGGTGACCGAAACTAATGATATATCTTATGTTTTTGGTGGTTCTTTGTAGCTTTCTGATTTTCGAGAAACTATTATGAAGATGTTGGGATTTAACATGAGAACAGCTGACAAGGAAATCATCAATCATCTAAGGCTTATTATACAAGATTATGAAGCATCTAACAAATCGAAGATTGCATCTGACTGTGAGACTGGACAGGATAATAAATAAAAAAGCTCTGTCTTCATTGCTGCCAACAAGAACACAGAAGATATAGACATTTCCTCCAGCATCTTGAATTGGCTACATTATGAATAAAATGCATTGGGAATTTTTCACTTGAAAAATTCTCTCCTTTAATATTTGGCATTTTTTTGTCATTATCTTGTTCTATACATTTATTTATGGTCTAGTCTAGATTGTTAGAACATATATCTAATTATATTTATTATTAACTGTATCTTAAGCAGGATATTAATTAGAACTTGTGTTCTTAATTGGAATATTTATATTTATAGTTAATAGACTATTTCTAAAATGAACAGTCCAGAATAATTATTTTAAAGTCAGCTGATTAGCAACCTTAATTCCCTTTTGCCATGTAGCCTAAAATACAGGATCCGGATCAGGACATAGACCTTTTTGGGGAGCCATTATTCTGCTGACCATAGCTCACATGTACCCAAACTGAATACACATATATTCCTACCTAATAGAAATGTGTATATATGAGGCGCCTGGGTGGCTCAGTCTGTTAAGCCTCTGACTCTTGATTTCAGCTCAGGTCATGATCTCAGGGTCATGGGATTGAACCCCGTGTTGGGCTCTGCTCTCAGTAAGAATCTGCTTCTCTCCCTCTGTCTCTACCCCCCTCCCCCCGGCTCATGCTCTAACATAAATCTTTAAAATAAAATAAACTATAAGAAAGAGAAATGTGTATATATATTCTACAAAAAGATACTTCTAAAATTATTCATGGCAGCGTTGTTCATAATTGCCCCAAATTGGAAACTGTCCAAATGACCAAAAGTAGAGTTAACTAATGGCAACCAGATCCACTAGTTAAGCAATCAGATCTCCTTCACTTGTGGGACAGGGAGAGGTCAACTGGAATGAGGAATTTTCTTAGGGGCCAAACTAGAAAGTGACTCCAGGTCTAACACTGGGGATATGGCAAATAGAGGACAGCCTGAGTTTGAAGAGAAATGGTAAATTTACGTGGCATGCAGTAACCAGTGGCCTGTAAGGAGAACTTAGTTCTTGTTGCACATCTGTTGTTAACCAGCCTCAAATTTTATTTTTTTTAAAGATTTATTTATTTATTTTGAGAGAGTGAGAATGGGAGAGAGAGAGTACATGAGAGGGGGGAGGGTCAGAGGGAGAAGCAGACTCCCCGCCGAGCAGGGACCCCGATGCGGGACTCGATCCCAGGACTCCAGGATCATGACCTGAGCCGAAGGCAGTCGCTTAACCAACTGAGCCGCCCAGGCGCCCTCAAATTTTAAAATAAACCTCAAAATTAGGAAATGTAGCCTGCACTTCTGACTTGTGACTCGGGTTTCAGGCAGCTCCAACTGCCCTAGCAGAAACATTTTTCAGGTCAGATTAATAGAGCTTGTTGCCCCAGGACAGGAGCCAGCAGGCACAGCCAGGCACTGTCCGGGGACCGTTTCCTCAAATGCACGGTGCCATTTTCGGGCGTGAAAGGCTGAGACAATTTCCTCCCTCCTAGCCTATCTGGAGTGTCCTCTTCTGCAAAAGAACCATTAGGACGTGTACAACCTACTCTGAAGTCCCGCCTGCGGCCCAACACACCGCAGCGACTAGAGCGGCTGCTTATACGAAGGCCAAGTGCCTGGCCAGTATTCCATTCGAGATTCTTCAATGGATGCCGCCAAACTGCAGGTGAGATCCCCGGCCGCGCGCCACAGTCCAGCCTTGAACTCCGCGACCCGTCAGCGAGTCCGCGCTACTGCGCCTGCGCCCCGTCCAACTGGCTGCGCTCCGGCGGCTCTGCGGGGCGGAGACGGAAGAGGCTCGCAATTGGAGCGGTTGACGGGCGTCGCTGAAGGAGGAAGGGGGCGAAAAAGACACGGGGGACCTTGGAGGTGACTCGCTGGCAGAAGTCATTGGCTGGTGGAAGACCCGTTTCAGATCGCGCCTCCGTGCGGGGCGGGGCACCCGCCGAGGGGGAGGTCGGGCCTCGCGAGTCCAGCCCAGCAGAGGGGCGGTGTCGCGGGAGGACAGTTGCGCGCGCGCGGGAGCGGGGCGCGGCTCCTGGACTCGCCCAGCCGCTGGCGGCCTGCGCGCTTGGCTGTCAGCGCGCTGGGCTTACCCGGGAGAGTTCTGGCGGGAATTCCGCGCGGGCATGCTCTGGGTGGCGCCCACAGCCCCGAGTTGGAGGGCCCAGGTGGCGCCAGTAGCCGTTAAAATCTCGGGTGACGCCTGCTCGGCCAGGGTCGGAGCCGGGGCGCTGTTGTAGGCCCCTCTGAGCTGGGGCGCCGCGCGGCTCCAAGTGCCCGGGTGATCTCGGGGTCGCTCAGTGCGGGGAGGGTCGTCCGCCCAGCAAGCCTAGATTTTGTCAGCTCCCCGCGCAGATCTGGGGTTGGAGAGGACGCGGGTCTTATGTAAACTAGACGCTAAGGGACCAGCGACGGCGGACACTCCCTCCTGCAGGCGTCCACTCTGCATAGTGAGATGGGGCTTTTGCTTGGGGAGCAGGGCAGGAGGAGGGAGGCAGGTGCGATGCCTGTGAGGATTGACACTGCAGGCTTCGGAGTATGATGCTTTCTTTCCTGGAGGAACCTGGCTTCGTTCTTACTGCGCTTGGCTTAGTTTATCCCATTACCGTTCTGACGATAGGTTGTTCAAGTCACTTTGGACTCGACCAAATATTGGTGTTCCTTCATAAACCATTTCTTAAGATGATCTGATTGATAGCAGAGCTTACTTATTGAACTTGATTCATTATTTGGGGTTTTTTTATTAACGGTTTTATTGGGATGTAGTTTACATAGCATAAAGTTCACCTGTTTTAAGTGTACAATTAATGATTGTTAGCATATTTACATAGTTGTACAACCATCACCATAATGGAATTAGAGAGTCTTTGGCGATTTTTTTCCCCTGGTAATTGCCCTTACTATTCTCAAAGTTTGCACGAGTGGACATTTAAAGATACAGTGTAACATAAGAGACTCTGAAGATGTACACTCAAATTGTTATACATGAGTAGATGAAATTAAGAGAAGAACTGAAGCATATTTTTTTCCTAGATGTTGCAGGTGGTGAAACTTGTGTATTGCAATCCAAAGAGATACTGTATCAACGGTCTCATTTTCTGAGGAATATGGGATAAACCCTATTTTACAGATGAGGAAATTGATTTTGAAGGATAAACTGCCTAAAGCATCATGGCTGTGCCTAGGCTAAACCTCTGTCCTACATGCTTTATCTCTAAATTTATTGCCTTTGCCACTTCATCAGCCTGATTTTCAATTATATTTATGTATGACCTGTACAACTCATTCATTTATTGAGCAAAGAATTAGAGTGATCAGTGTGCCAACAACAACATAAAACTGCTCTAGATGCTAGAGATACTGTAGCAAACCAGCTAAATTCCTACCCTCAGTTAATCTGGTAGAGGACATGATGATCAATTAAAGAAACACTAATTTTAGATATTGAGACATGGCATTTTTTAAAAAGGCAAACTAAAAGTATAGGGAATGGTGGTGGGAGGCAGGATCTGTTTTAAGCAGAAATCTGAAAGAAGAGGAAGTTGGGACCTAAGAGAGAAAGGATTTGGTTTGAGCAACCGGAAAGATGGAGTTGCAATTTACTGAGTTGAAATAAGGTAACATGTGGAAGGACCAGGTTTTTGGGTTGAGATTATGAACTCAACTTCAGATGTTTTTAGATGCCTCCTAGACATCCAGTTGGAGATATGGTATTTAAATCCATGAGATTGCAAGTGATTTGACCATTCCCTGGTTCCATGAGAAGGAACCAGGAGGAAAGATTGACAAGGGGGAGTCCAGTGTGTTATGAGGAAAAGCAGGAGAGCATATAGCCTTGGAAGAAAAGGGAAGAAAGTGCTTTGTGGAAGAAGAGGTAATCGACAATGTGAAAAGTTAGACTGATTAGGTAAAATGAAGATTGAGAATGGCCCATCTGTAAGAGAATAGAAATACAGCTAAATAACATGGGTTTGAACTGCTTGGGTGTATGTGGATTATTTATTATTATTATTATTATTATTATTATTATTATTATTATTTGGTGGGCAGCAAAGTTTATTGAGTGATAGTATAAAGCTCCCAAAGAAGGAGGGGACCCGAGAGGGATGCCCATACATGGATTGTTTTAAAAAATAAATACAGTATAGCACTGTAAATGTATTTTTTCTTCCTTGTGATTTCCTTAATAATATTTTCTTTAGCTTACTTTATTGTTAGAATACAGTATATAATACATATACAGAACATGTTTAATCAACTGTTTGTGTTATCAGTAAGGCTTCTGGTCAAAGTAGGCTATTAGCAGTCAAGGTTTTGGGGAGTCAGAAGTTATAAAAAAGTTATACGTGGATTTTCAACTGTGCAGGGAGTTTTGCCCCTGACCCCCTTCAATGGTCAATTGTACATAGTCTTTTGATACAAATGTTTATACTGGCAGTTACTACAGAAACAGTGTTTCCTCCTTTCTGAGGAGGTGGACATTTTTGCAACCTTTCTGAAGGGTGGTCTGATGTTATCTAAAATTTGCCAAGGGGCCCCTGGGTGGCTCAGTTGGTTGCGCAACTGCTTTCAGCTCAGGTCATGATCCTGGAGTCCTGGAATCGAGTCCCGCATCCGGCTCCCTGCTCAGCGGGGAGTCTGCTTCTCCCTCTGACCCTCTTCCCTCTCGTGCTATCTCTCATTCTCTCTCTCTCAAATAAATAAATAAAATCTTTAAAAAAAAAAAATAAAATTTGCCAAGTAATTTCACTTGTAGGAGCTTATCCTACAGAAATGTTTATACATGTACACAAAGATATGTTTTCTTTTTATATATAAAGGTGTTTATCACAGCATTATTGACGATTGGGAAAAAAACAAATTTTCATCAAAATGGATATAGTTTTAAAGGAAAGAGGTGCATCTGGGTGGCTCAGTCATTAAGCATCTGCCTTGGGCTCAGGTCATGATCCCAGGGTCCTAGGACTGAGCCCCACATCGGGCTCCCTGCTCAGCGGGAAGCCTGCTTCTCCCTCTCCCACTCCCCCTGCTTGTGTTCTCTCTCTAGCTGTCTCTCTCTGTCAAAAAATAAATGAAATCTTTAAAAAAAAATAAAGATATTAGCGTATAGATGTGAAA